TTTATCAAATAATAGATTACTATAGTCATTGACTACTATGTCTTGCATACTTAACCTATTCCACTGATCCACCAATCTATTTCTTAGCTACTACCAAGCAGTTTTGATGATTACTGCTTTATACTACAATTTAAGATCTGGAATGGCTAGGCCACCTTCCCCTGCATTTCTTTTCATTAGTTCTCTTGATATTCTGGACCTTTTGTTCTTCAAAATGAATCTTGTTATTATTTTTTCTAACTCTATAAAATAATTTTTGGTAGTTTGATTGGTATGGCATTGAATAATTAGCTTAGGTAGAATGATGACATAGAACTCTTGATGACTCTGAGTCCGACCATTCAATCAGTGCTGAATGCATCTAATTGTATCGTTGATCTAATACATCAATAACTCCATCTTCTCCCCAAGAAAAGCACGAGATATTTGATGCAAGCTTTGCTAAAATCTAAACAACTCATAGCTATAGGATTTCCCTCCTCTACCAGTTTGGTGACCCTCTACAGTCAGCCTGTTCCTGATGAAGTCACACTGGCACCTATAGGTCACTGACCTGAGCTCCTTGTTCCTTCAATATTGATCCAGGCTTTTGGAAATTAGAACGGAAGCTCCTTGAAGGCTTTTGCCTCTTTCTAAACCCAACACTCAGCAAAGTGTCTGGATCATCACAAATGCTTAAAAAGTACTTTCTGATTTATTGACTGAAAAGGGAATATTTATCAGAAATATTCATATTATGAATTATCCATTAACTAGCCCTCACCTCAATCTGAAAAATGTCCTTCTCTCTATCAAGAAATCTCATTTGTAAGACACTGGCAATTGACTTTTCAGTGGCCATATGGTTTGTTAAAAGGAGTAAAGCAAAATTGCTACAAAACAATCAAGTGCTCCCCTCTCCTGGAGCATCATGCCCCCCACCCTCCCCTTGTACTTGTAGGTCATGGACAAGATTAAAGGAACATATTGGGTGTTTGGGATCCACCTGGATAGTCTCTGTAAACAGTGAGAAATGAGGAAGGACTTAGAGGCAGAGTCGTTTGGTTCCAAGGTCTCTGGCAGATCTGGCCAGGCTCTCAGCTGCTCTTCCAGGTGACAGAGGTTCTTCTCCCTGCCTTTCACAAATCATTTTTCCCCCTTTCATTGAATATCACTGTAACTTCAGGCCCACGTGAGGGGACCATAGAGCATCTGCATACATATTCGTTTTCCCTAGCCCTTCTTTCATACTAAACTCCCAGTTTCCTAGTACTGCTACTCATCTCTGGCTACCCTCTTTAACCCAGGTCAGAATAGATCAATAGATAGTTATCAGTCCATTCCTAATTAATTTGACAAAGTCCTGGAGCTTCTCAGACAGCTCACCTTGAAGCCAGTGTCTTTAGTTTGTGTGAGGGATATTATCTCATCAACAAGTCCTCTCCTGGCAAATGCAGTAGGTTTCTGGTGGCTCCTGTTTGCCTGGCATTGTTAACAGAATTTTACTGAACCAGTCTCTAACCTGAGAATGATGAAACAGCAGGCCAGAGACAAAGTGCCAGTAATCAGGTAGCCATTTAATTAATTAGTTTCGTTATGAGGAACAGATTTGCAAATCAGGAATTCTCCCGATCAGAATTCAACCTTGCTGTATTGAAGGCAAAGATTATATACATAAATCACCAGTGGGAAGGGAAGGGGAAAGGTGGATTACTAATGATAGTTTCCGAGGGTCTGAGTGGTTTCTCACAACAAGCCCACAGTCCTGGTATCCTGAAGTTCTGTGAGAATGGTATTATTTCAGGTTCTTGTGGGTCATTACTTGGTGAGTCACAAGACCAGAGTTCTGTGACAGGAACAAGTTTTACAAGCTTTGATTCTCTTCACTTAAGGTACACGGGCTCAAGAATGCAGTGATTGTGAGAGCATTGTCAAGGGTTGGATTGATCTTTTCAAGCTGCATTGTAAGTCTGACTCCCAAACCATGAGAGGCAATTCTAAGAAATCTAATCTATTAGTATATTAATTACACATATCATATTGATTAACATGAAAATCGCAATTCCCGTCACGGTATCAAATGTCTTCAAAGCCTTGCAGATGAGCCTCAGCATGTGATACAAAGGAGTGTCTAAGTCTGCACTGAAGTAGATATGGTCTTCTCATTCCACCAGGCTCCAGGGGCACCTGAAGGCACCAACCAGACTGCTTCTTTCTGCCCTTTCTTGTCCTTTTCCACTATATACTCAGGAGGGAGATCTCTGGGATGAAGAATCTGTCACACATTTTGGATAATAAACATCAAAAACTAAAGTAAAAAAAAAGGTATTAGAAACTCTCTGGACAGGGTCAGCTAATGAGTGCTTTTATCTTTTGGAGTATCCTGGACTTTTGAGGTCACTGAGTCCAACCCCCTCATTTTAAGGATGAGAATACTGAGACCTAATGAGGTTAAGTGACATGCCTAAGCCCAATCAGATGGGAACCATCAGCTTCAGGATTTACCAGGTCCTCTGACTCCTGATGCAATTTTCTTTCCTCTGTGGCACTCTCTCCGTTCTGAAACCCTATGTGACCCTGGTGCTAAACAGAGGCTTTACAGAAATGGCATTTGTCACTAGCAGTTTTGGATGGCCTAAAACTGTAGTCAGCCTTTCCCTTTGCTGTTCAAAAGTCTTTTGCAGAAAATTCAGACACACTGATCTGCCCTCTAAGTAATCCATGTCACATGAGATGATGCAGAAATTTCTTAGGGTATTCACTCAGACTGTCAAATAGCCCAGTATATTTGGAGATTTAATTAGTCCAGGGAACTAGGGCTTGAATCATTGATATAGTGTCCTGGTCACTTAACACATACTCAGCTTGGAAGGTTTTCCCCTTACAGACTGATATTTTTGTGATGGTAAATTGGGCCATCTTTTTGTCTCAATTCTTATCTAACCCTGAGTCATTGAATGAGGGTTGCCTCAGACACACTGAGACCCGGGCAATATCTTTATTTAGAAAGGCAGACAGGGTGAAATGACTTGCTGTGGGTTACGAAGTTAGTAAGTATCTAACACTAGATTTGAACTTAGGTCTTTCTGACTCCAGGTTTAGCACTTTATCCACTGAGACACCCAGCAGTCTGTTTGCCTTTCTTTGTATCCGCAGCACTTAGCACAGTGCTTTGAACACGGTTACCTCTTAATAAATGTTTGGCTTGACTTGACTTTCCATTTGAGGATGTGGAGTACTGGAGATACTGACCTCAGTTTAGGGGCAATAAACCTTAAGAATAAAAAGGGGTTTCTGACCATACCCGAGAGACTCAGAGCAGATGATCAAGGACAAGGCTGTTCAGAGAAGAGTTCAGAAGAGAAGCAGTTAACAAACAAGTGCTAACAGAACAGTTCAAAAGACAGAGCTAACCTCAGCTGAGGCTTCTGTGCATTCTGAGCCAGTTGGACTGAAGAGCATCAACACCCCTTGCTAATAAAATGGACAGAGTGCTAAGGAACGCTTCACAGTTGTACCTGTAAGAATGCTGGCTGAGAGAACTGTAGCCCTTCTTATCAAGGCAAAATTTCCTAATCACAGCACCTCCAGGAGCTCCAATAGATTGAAGACAGTATAAGAGATGGCACTAAAGAGGTTGGCAAAGTAGGAGGCTTAAGAAGAGCAAGAGAAAGCTACAGTATCCTTTTCAGGGGACAGGCTTACTAACCACAGCATTCTTAGTGGATGGTGGACAAAGTGTTAGGCGACTAGAACTGAAGATCGACTTGATCAGAGACCTGACGACAAGCAGGGAGTCATGGAGAGAAATGCCAGTACAAAATAACTAAGACGAGACATTGTGGGGTGGAGGGAAGAGGTCCAGCAAAGGGCAGCACAGTGACCATAGGCTTCTTGGCTTCCCTGGCTTCCTTCAAGTCCCAGCTAAAATCTCCCCTTTTACAGGAAGCCTTTCCCGATACCCCTTAATGTTAGTGCTTCCCATCTGTTAACATCTCCAATTTCCATATCTTGTTTGTACATAGTTGTCTGCATGTAGTCTCCCCATTAGACCGTGAGTTCCTTGAGAGCAGGGGCTATCTTTTGTACCCTCAGTGCTTAACAAAATGCCTGGCACATAACAGGTGCTTAATAAATGTTGACCTACTGATAGTAAAGAAATTTGTTTGAGGGTCATAAATTACTCCTTCATGTGACCTGGTTACATGTCCCCCTTCATTGAGGTGCCCTGGTCACATTCACCTATATGTGCTGCCCTATACCTCATTTCTTTCTAGATCTACTCATCCCTCTGAATGGGTCTGTATCTGTGGGAGAGAGAGCTGAAGGTTTACTAGCTCCCTTGGGAAATAGTGAGTTTGCCATCATTGAGGGGTATTCAAGTCCAGGCTGCATGGCCAGTTATCAGGTGTAATGTAAAGATTTGACTTCAAGTCTGGGTTCAACTCAAGGCCTCTGAGGTCCCTTCCAGACCTGGGATTTTGAGAAGGAATAAAAGATGTAGCATTGTACCTCCTTTGGGGAATTCAGTACCTGTTAAATTCCTACTGTGTACAAGGCACTGTGGACAAAGTGGCCTGGGGCCTGGGATTTTATTGGTACAGGGAACCTCCAGGTGAGAAAAGTACCAAAGCAGGCCAGAACCTTCTTTGCAATTTAGTCTTGAAGAGTTGTTCAGAGCATTGAGAAGTAAATGACTTGCCCAGTGTCACACAGCCAGGATGTGTCAGAGATTAGGCTTGAGAATCTAGGTCTCTCTGGCTAGCCACTACTCCAAGCTTCCTCTCAATTCCACACAAGCTCATTGGAGGACCAGGAAAAAATTAACAGTTAGGGAGTGGAGGGGAACAAAAAAAAAAAAAGGCTTCGGGAGGTGGCCCCTTTAGGAATGAAGGGGGAGGGACACTCCTGCTGTCTCTGTGACGTCTCTAGACCCCTTGTGACCTCGGCTCAGTCGGGGGTCGGGGTAGCGCCCTTTTCCTGCGCTCCCTCAGCACACAGCCCTCAGTCGTCAGTACCTGCGCACTGAGTCGGGTCTGAGGGAGCAAAGGCTTAGGGGCAGAAGCCGACTGGGTCCTAGAGAAAGCGGAGTGAGGCAGTGACAGGGTACGCAGGCAGCAGCGGAGATCCTCGAAGGGGGACTGGCTGGGGGCCCGGACTGGTAGATTCAATAAGTGGGTCTCTGAAGGGGCTTCTGTGGAATGGGACGCTTGGATCCCCGAGGGCAAGAGCTGGTGGCTGGGGAGCCTGGGTCCTGGAGGGTGGTGGGACAGACAGAGGTGGTGCCCAGGTCTTTGAGGATCTGGACTGTAGGTGGCACCAGGGAAAGACTATGCCCGGATCTGGGAGGAAGCAGGAGTGGCTAGATTCTGAGATTCTGAGAGGCTGGACGGCTGGTTCTCGGAGGATGGACGTTAAAGTTCCGGAACCCTTGCCCTGGCCTGCTCCGGTCCAGTTGGATTACACCGTTTTTAGGAACCTTCCCCCAAATACACCGCAGCCCCTAACTCTGACAGGGGACAGCGGCCGGGCTTTAGAAGCTCTGCTCATGGGCCCACGCGCGAGATCATCTCCAAGGGGGGTTTCCAGCAGGTTCTCGGGGGACCCCAGCTGGGGAGGGGAGTAGCTCGAGCCACAGAGGGGGCGTGACAGGGCACGAGACCGGACGGTTTGCGGGGGGCGTGGCAGTTCTCCCGGTTGGTAGCCTGCGTCTGTGAGGCGTCTCACAGTTGAGGGTACAAGGGTCAGGGGCCAGGGAGGGCCACCTAGTTGGGAAGGAGGAGGAGTCTCGCCTGGGGAGGGGCGGAGACCTGTCTTCAGAGGCGGGGCTTCCGACCTCCGCCCCCTCCCCCACTCAGGCCCCGCCCCGCCATGTGGCCGCAGCCCCTGCTGCTGCTGTTCCTGCTCTTGGCAACTACCCCCGAGGACCAAGCTGCACCCATCTCGGTCCTTGAGCATGCCCACGGACACAACCATGCCCCCGGGGGTCCCGACACTTCCGAGAGTCCGGAGATGGGTTCCATGGGCCTGCTGGGCATCCACAACCTCCTCCACAACCTAAACCGCCTCTTCTTTCGGGTAAGCAAAAAGGAGACTGAGGGGTGTGGAGTACAAAGTCTGCAAGGTGGATAGAGACTGGGCCAGGGGACGGTCAGGTAACAAGTACGGTGAAATGTTTCCGCTGCGATGACAGCGGGTCGGAGCGATAGAAAGTGAGGGCAGACGTGGGCACAAGGGGCAGAGGGATGACAAAGGCATAGATCTATAGGGATGGTGGGCAGGGATGAAAGGCAGGAATGAGGGAAAGGGGTGGGAAGTTGACAGGTGGCAGACAGAAGGATGAAAAACGAGGGGCAAAAGGATGGGGGAAATGCAAAGATGACTCAGCCATGGAGGAGAGGTAAAAGACAGGAGTGTAAAGATGAAGTATAAAGGAAAGGGGGGGGGGATGTTCAGAGAGAAGGAAAGGCAAGAAAGATGGGGACAAAGATGGGAGGACAGAGGGACCTAGGCTCAGACAGAGAATGGGGGAAAGATAGAGGATTGACTAGGGAAGGTGCAGAAAGATCAGAAGTTTGGAGGGACAGAATCAGAAAGAGGGAGGATGGGAGGAGGAACTCATGAGAGGGAGACTGAGGGGTTGGAGAAGGGGTAACCTCATCCCACTGAATTCCCTACGGTCTTTAATGAATTCTCTTCCACCGGCCCCTGGCTTCCTATCTTCCTCTTTTCTTGGCTGGGGCTCCCCCAGGACGATCTGTTTCGGAGCATGGACAGCTTCATGACACCTTCGGTGGACTTTAGGAACCTTCCCCCCAATTACCACAATGAAGACCAGAAACAACACCGCTTGAGTAATGGCACTATCTATAGCCACCACCAGATAGACAAGGTCAGCCTCTTTCCCCCTTCTCAGCCTCCCAACCCCACGTCCCTGCCCAGCCACCACTAGCCAGCCAACAATCTCTGCTCCTTTCCACTCTGGCCCAGTACCTCTGACACTCTGACTTTGATCCATGCCCAACACTGGTAATAGCTGATAAAGACATTTGATGGGCAGAAAAGGTGTTGGTAAAGGGAATGGGTTTCATTCTCTGCTTGCCGCCCCACCCCGATACTGTACACACAGGTGACTGATAATCGGACTGGAGATATGATGTTTTCGGAGAAGGTGGTGGCTGAAATTGAGCCTTCAGAAGGGAATGTGGAGGATGACTGGAAGGTCAGAGATGCTTTTGTTGCCCAGTAAATTTCAGTGTTGGACACTTGTGGCTTCTAAGGAGAGAGAATTGGGGGGGAGGACTGAAACGCTCTGTCTTGGTGGGGGGGGTGGGGCAAGACCTAGAAACAAGTTCATGCCGCTCTCCTGTTCATGCCTCTGTCTCCTGAGTAATCAGGGGTGAGACTGAAAGAAATGGAGTGAAGCAGGAGGGGAAAGGGTCAAGAGACCTCTTCCTGTGGAAGGGAAAAGTGAGATCAAGGCCAGACCTCCAAAAAGCCTAGTCCCTCCCTCTTCCCTTCCTTGCAGCTTGTGAATGCAGGGCCCCAGCCGGTAGGCCCAGGAGCAGTAGGTGGAGGTGGCAGAGGCAGAAATAAGAAGGAAGAATTTAGACGCCAGGGGTAGTGAGTTCACCATCCCAGGAAGTCTTTGAGCATAGTCTGTGTCCACTTTTCAAGATGATGTCTTGGGGGATTCCTGCTCAGGTAGAGAAGTCCCTTTCAGCTCAGAGGTCTTGTGGTTCTGTGGATTCTAGGAACCTGAAGATGAAGAAAATGAACCAGCCCAGCCTCTCCGCAGCAGCGGACTGAGCAGCCCCCATGTTGAAACCCAGCCCAGAGTGTCTTTCTGGATCGTCAGGCTGCCCCATCGGCTGGCCCGGGCCGACAGCCGGCCTGGGAACCGCTGGCTCAGTGAGAAGCGTCACAGGCTTCAGGCTATTCGGGATGGGCTTCGGGAGGGAGCCCACGAGGAAGCCCTCTTACGTGTCCACCCTGTGCCTCGCAGGGCCCGTTTTCTCTATCTCCTAAGGCCCCCTCGGCAGCTTTAGGCTACGGGGCTAGCCAAGAGGCAGGCTGAGGGCAGTAGCAGAGATGAGAGGTGAGGATGCCTGCAGGCATCAGCCCCTCAGCCCCCTTGGAAATAAATAAAAGTTCTATCTTCAGTGAAAACAGCGTCATGGCTGTCATCTCCAGCCTCCAGGCTCCGTCTTAGCAAGGCCCTGTCTCTTTCATCTCGCATCTCTTCTCTCCTGTCGCCGCAGCCTGGATTCCTGGGTAGCAATCAACAGACTTGGGTTCACATCTCACCAGTGCCTTGGGCTAGTCACTTCTCAAATTGTCAGTTTCCTCTTTGGTAACTTTAGCATAAGGAGATGAAAGTTTCCCCTGGGCCTGATGACACTGGAAACCAAATGTAGGATCTCGGAAGCTCCCTCTCAGTCGCTCCAGAAAACAAACAAACCTAAAAAATGACCCCAGGGTAGAGCTACTTGGTGGGTCACAGGACCCAGTCAAAACCACAGCTCACGATCTTCCACTGACTTGTTTAATTTTTCTAAAGTAAACACATTAGTTCAAAATAAAATACTTAAGAAAATGCAGGTAGGATCCATTCTCCCACAACCCACTACACCAGTGGTGAAAGATAACACAGAGAAGAGGTGAGATCACGGCTCATGAAGGAAAAGTGTTATTAGGGAACATACATAAAAAGGCACTTGCCCCAGGAACCCTTAGGGCCAGGGCCATTCTTAACCTGTGGCTTTGCAGGGCTGCCCATGTCCTCTTAGGATATAACACTCTCTGCTAGGTATCTCCTTTCTATATGCTCAGTTGTATGGTTGTATTCTTGAAGGGCGAGAGCTGAGCGCCTGACTGGTTCTCCTATCTTCAATGCAGTGGTTAGAAAGCCTCTCCTTGGCAGGGCAGGCTGAAATTTTTTTTTTTTTTTTTGATATATATAGCCCAGAGCCAGAGGCTATTTAAATCACCATACCTAGCTAAATAAAAGCTAGTGAGAGTGACCCCTTTCTAAAATCCTCTGTTCTTTAGAATGTCTATGTCTGGTGTTAATGTGGAGTTGTCTTAAATTGAAGGTTAGAAAATTCCTCCTTTCTAACCCAAAGGAACAAAAAGAAGGTAAGGTCATTTGCTTTCCATACTCCTGACCCAATAATGCATCTCCTTCCTGGGTAGCACAAAACTTCACTTGCCCTACCTACCTCACAAGGGTATTGGAGGAAGTGTTTTGCAAATCTTACAATGCATTAGAAATATGAATTATCTCCAGTCCCACTTCCTGCCCATTACAATCTATCATGCCTACTATCTCTTATCATTTGTGGTCTTATAGAATCTTCAGAGGATCGCCAGTAACCTTGGCTGTCTGCTGTGATGTCCCTAGGACGACCAACCCCTAGGCCTTGTGAAACATTTTTGCCCTTTCACAGAACAGTTGGTGTCCCATAAGAACAGTGGCATTACCTACTGGCATTAAAGGGTGTGGCTTGGAACAGCTGTTTAGGGTGCCATAACTGGCTTGGCCACCAGATGATGCTCAAAGCTAGCTTAGACAGCTCCCAACTGTGTGGGTGCAAAAAATACCTAGCAGTCTCACCTTCCCAGTCTTTTCTAGTGATTTCTGAGTGGACCATTATGTAGGGATATTCCAACAATCACTCACAAATTGCTTGACTCATGCCCCATCCAACTGGATCAACTCTTTGGTATGGTCCCAAAGAATTCACTCACTCAGCATATCGGCTAAAACACATTTATCCTGCAATGAAAACAAATACAAAGCTTAATGGTGAGCTCTGAAGGGATTCAGCATGCCATCTTCTAGTAAAGTTGAGTTTCCAATTCCCCCTCCCTCCAACCTTATTCTTGATCATATTGAAGTGGAAGACATACAGTGCCCTAAGGTTTAAGAGAATATTAATGTTGCTTTTCCAGTACTTTGTGAAACCCCAGTTTATTCTGTAACTTGAAAGTTGTCCTAAAGTCCTTTCCCCCTTATCTTGAACCCGTACCAAAAGGATTGCTTTTGTTTCCCTTAGTCTTAGGCTCCCCCTGGTCCTCTAATCTTTAACCTGCCATAAAGCATTCCCTTTGTCTCCCTTATCCCATGTCATGAGATTCTTTCTTGACCTGTCTTAAATCTTTAACCCCCATAAAACTTCTAAAATTATCTTGTAAGCAATCATCTTCCTCATCCTGTCCTTATAAAACTGTCCCTGTCCCTCTTTAAGTTGCTAGCCCTCTTTCCAGGGCTAGCCCGCTGCTTTTGCTTCAATAAAGCTCCCAATGGTTACGGAGAAGGTCTAAGGGAATTCTTTCACACCTGAACCAGCTCTCCCAACTCTAAACCTCAACAATATCTATTCACTTTTTCAGGGTAGGACGATAAGCCTCCCTGATCTAAACATCACAAGAGGAAGGGGAAATTACATCCCCACACTCCAACTTGCTTGTTGTTGCTTCTCTTGTAGAAATTATACCCAGCTCCTAGCTTACCACTAGGCCATCTTGGTCTCAGCTCCGCGTCCCAGCAGACCTTTGGATGCTTTGGGGAGCTGGCACCAAGGGGTTCTGAAAGTGCTGGGCCATCCCACCCAACCCCCACAGCTTCCTTCACCAAATCTGGTATGACCAACGGAACCAGAAGGCTGAGGGAAGATGGAGCTGCTCCATCTTTCTGTGGGCTTTTCCCACGTTTGGAGACCCCAGAATCAGAGCATGCGAAGAGAAGAGTGGATGGGGTAGGTCATGTAGGGAATTTTTGTTGAACTGTTGAAGCAAAGGCTGGGAAAACTCCATTTTTTCCTAAAGGGAGAGTCCCTGGAAATCAGAGACCCATTGGGTGGCTGGGAGTTACTTGAGCTGTTGGTTTAAAGGGGCATGGTGTTCCCACCGTGGGGATATGGGCCATTGTGAATGGGTCTGGGGGTGGGCGGTGAAAAACTGTGGGACCCCTCTATTCACGGAGCCGGGCAACTCTTGAGTTTTCCAAGGAAGACTGCAGGAAACAGTGGGCAGACAAGGGTGGGGGGAGCCCCCAGCCCCGGGGGGAGCCCCCTGCCCCTGAAGCGAAGGGCGGGGGTAATTCTTTCCTGCCTCGCGGCGGGCTAAGTTTTAGCATTCAAGTCTCCCTTTAAATTCCCGGGCACGTTCTAAAGAATCCCTTGGCAAGGCAGGATTAGGACGCTGGCGGACACTGGGAATGGGAAGGGGCGGGGAAAGGGACGGCCCTGGGAAAGCAGAAGGAGGGGTTATGCGCAGGCGCGAGCCTTGGCCACGACGCATGCGTATGACTTGGCAACGGTTGCTGAGCAAGCTACTCCCGCGTCTGCGCCCTGCCTCCAGGTGGGGGCGCGCGAAGCGGGAAGCGCAATGAATGCGGGGCGCATGCGTACCCACGACGGCCGCCGCTTCGACGCCGCGGGCTTGCTGATTCTGGCGGGACAAGGCCTGGCGCCCAGCACCGGCTCCCAGCTTCCGGCCAGTTGTCGAAGCCCGAGCTGGGCAGCAGGGTGAGGGGCGAGCTCCTCACCGTGACGATCAGAGAGAGGGGGAGCCGGGGACCCTAAGACCGCCAGGGAGAGAGGGAACCCCAAGCCTGTCAGAGAGAGGGCCCCCAAGCCTGTCAGATAGAGGGCCCCCAAGCCTGTCAGACAGGGGGTCCCCAGACCCTGTGAGGAAGGGCCCCCAAGCCTGTCAGAGAGGGGTTCCCCAGACCCTGTGAGGAAGGGCCCTAATTTTGTCAGAGAGGGGGTCCCCAAGCCTGTCAGAGAGGGGGTCCCCAGACCCTGTGAGGAAGGGCCCCCAAGCCTGTCAGACAGGGGGCCCCCAGACCCTGTGAGGAAGGGCCCCCAAGCCTGTCAGACAGGGGGTCCCCAGACCCTGTGAGGAAGGGCCCCCAAGCCTGTCAGAGAGAGGGTCCCCAGACCCTGTGAGGAAGCACCCCAAGCTTGTCAGAGAGGCCTCCAGTCCTGTTATAAAGGGGCCCCAATAGTGTTGGTGAAACCCCCCAGCCTGTTAAGAGACCCCTCGATCTGGTCAGAGAGAGGCCCCAAATGTCGGACATTGTCAGAAATGGCCCAAAATGTTGCCAGAGACCCCAAAGACTCTTATGGGTAGACCCCCCCCCGACTCTGCCAGGAGCAGGGGGTCAGACAGACCCCCCAGCCTCTTAGAATGGGAGTGGCCTCCAGACCCCCACAGGAAGGCGACATCCCCTCCCAGCCCTCAAGAAAGAGCCCCAGAGAGGCCCCTGAGGTCCCCCCAATCCTGTGGGTGAAAGAACCCCGAGGTCCTTTCCACGCCAACCCCTCGCCTGGGAGAGCGAGGCCCAGCCTAGGCCCTGGGTGCCCGAGGGAGAAGGGAGAACAGGCTCTGGATAATAATCTGGGCTCCATGAAGGCCAACAGGCCATAATTAAGATGGAAGATGGGTGCAGGCTGGGCGTGGGTCGGGGCCTCAGTTTGGTCTCTGTTCTTAGAGGGAAACTGGCCATCATCTGCCCCTGAGCCTGCTAGCCCCTTCCCCTCTAAAAGGCTGGGAAGCAGGGGTCCATGGATATCTTGCAGAGCCAGGGGGCCGACACCCAAGGCCCCAGACCCGCCAGCCTGATGCCAGAAAGTAGGTAACTCGTCGTCGTGCCCTCCCAAGGTGGGGCTGGGGTGGGGGGTCAGTGATAGGGCCTCAGAGCCTTTGGGGGTTGGCCCCAGAAGGGATTCATCCCAACAGGTGGTGGGAGACAGCTGACTCAGCTCTGTGAGGCCTGAGGCAGGGGTGCAGGGTGGGGTGGGGGTGCCATCCTGGGCCCTGGGATACAAAGAAGGAAAGAAAGAGAATGAAGGGATGAAGCAGCCCACTGTGCTGGTCCCCAAAGAGGGAAAAGCAAGGTGGACCAGGTGAGAAGGGCCAAGCACTAAGACAGAAGTGTGGGTGTGGGCGAGGGCCAGGATCCAGAAAGGCCACGGGGCACCTAAACTAGTCTGGAAGGGAGCCAGGCGTAAGCACAGGGGAGGCAAAGGCCTAGAGGTGGGAAATAGAATGGTGAGGTCAGGGAACAAGGTAATTCATTGATCGCTTATCCCTTGTTGGATGTGCCCAGTGGTGCCTCTGGAAGCTGGGGGTCCAAGCCAGGGGCTCTGAGAACCCTGGCCCTGCCACTTTTGAACTGTGCCACCTTGGGCCCATACCTTATTTTAGCTGAACCCCAGTTTCCTTCTCAGCCAAATGAAGCATTTTTACTCTTAGGTGAGCATGTTTCTTTCTCTGGGCCTCAGTTTCCTGGCATGTAAATTAAGGAATAACCTCTAATGAGAATTGGGAGGAAGTCCTTAGGGGATGAATCTGGGGAGTGAGCCAAGGCAAGGGATTCTGTGGGGCGCAGACGCTGGCCATTATCTGGTGTGTGTCCAGGTCCTACATGGAGTCGGAGTGAATGAGCGGGTCCCAGCCTCTGCCCCCTGGGGCCCTTCTGGCAGCATCCAAGCGGACAGGCTCTGAGGTGGAAGGACCAGGGTCTGTAGTCACATTGCTGGTGGGGGGGCCACAGGGCCAAGGAGCATGGGATCTGGTGGCCAAAGGGGAGACTTTTAAAAATGACCCAGGAAAGCAGTACATGTGCAGGGGAGCTTCAGCTGCCTGTTCTAACTAGGGAAGGCTTAAGCGTTATCATGGGTCTGGGACCTGGCCTGGCCTCAGTTTCTTCACATGTAGAGAGAGAGGTGAATGTCCACTGCTTTATTGCCTCTCGGGCTCACTTTGCAGAAGTCCAGTGGAAACAAAACCCCTTTGAGAGGCTCTAGTCCTAATTCTCTCCATTTCCTGGCTGGGGCCTTGCCACTTAACCTTTCAGGTTAACCTCAATTAACCTCGGAAAGATCTGTTTTCCCTGTAAAATGGCAGGTAGACTAGCTCTAAATGTCCATGGCCTCTCTTCTTTCCAACTCTAACACTAAGATACTGGACCCCTCAGACCAGGGAGTTTGTCTGGGTGTAAGGGGCCCTGTGCCTGCAGAGGGTGTATAGAGACTGCAGGCCTGAGCTAGGCTGGGCAAGGGCCTTCAGAGTCCATCCTTGCTGACCCTCCAGACCCCTGGAGTAGGGGGAGGGGTTCAGGGAACATCTTTGCCCAGGTCTCTGCCTGTCAAGTGTCTGAACCAAAGCCAGCATGGGTGCTGCTGGACCAGAGGGCGAGTGCAGGAAGTGCACTGGAAGTCATCCTCACAAACTGGAGCAGAAATAATGGCAACCTTGGGAAAGGGGGAGGGGAAGTGCCCATTCCATCTCAGAATTTGTAATAACAGAAAAGAAAGCAAAGTATAGTCTGATAACTCTAGCTTTGACAGAGCAGATCAAAAATGGTTCAGACAAAGGACAGGTAGCATCTCTTTGCATACAGTTCTATAGTTGGTTCAGGAGGGGTGGCAGGCTCCTAAGAATGAAATTCTGAGGATAGAAAGGGAAATTTTTTTTTTGGGCGAGGCAACAGGGTACAGCTAGTAAGTGTCAAGTGTCTGAGGTCACATTTGAACCCAGGTCTTCCTGAATCCAGGGCCAGTGCCCCTGGAAACATTTCTGATAAAGAGGAAAAGAGAATGTCATGTAAATAGATGCAGGTCTTTGAAGGAAGAGCCAACCAATTTAGATTTCATAAAGGTATCAGTAGAAGGTGGAAACCAAGACAGGTAACCAAAGATGCACATAAAATCGTTGGAGACATCAGTATTAAAGTTCAGTGAGCTGAGGCTGATGATAAATGCGAAGGACAGTGGAGCTGGGATTTCTGTCTGGACGTGGGGAAAGAGGAGGACCGAGGAAGGAATAAGATCACTGCTCATTGTGAATGGAATGGTGATAATGTATTGGGGGGGGGGGGGGTTACTTTTTTTTTTTTTTTCTGTTTGCCCCATCAAAGAGAATGATCTTGAATTGGAAAGAATAGTGCAAAACTGGTTAATAGGGTATTGACATCCAAGATAAGTAAAGAGTGGCCTTTGAGGAGTTCCAAGTCATTGAGTGCAGATGAACAATATCCCAGAACACTGAAAGAACTGTGTGTTGTACGTTAAACATAAATGCTGGCTACCAGTTGGTGATGGAGAGGACTGGAGGACAGGTGTCTCCGTTTTCAACAAAGAGAAGAAAATGGAATGTACAGACTAGCCAGTGAGACTGACTTTAACATCTGTCCTGATTCTATAATGTATTATTGAAGGGTTTGTTAATAAACATCCTGAACAGGAAGCAGTGGTGACAGAGCCTCCTGGCTTCCTCAAGAATATTTCATGCATATCCTCATTGCCTTGTTTGACAGGGTTATTCTATGAGTAGATCTGAGGAATGTGATGGGAAAGCTTACCAAGATCTTAGCAAGATTTGGCAGTCTCACATGCTAACTGATTAGATGAAGAGATGTGGGCTGGACTACACAGTACAGCAAGGTGTTTTCAGAACAGGTTGTACTACCACACCCAACATGAGTTATTCTAGATTGACCTAGGAAGAGGTCTCTAGTGGAGAACCCTGGGAATTTGTGCTAGTTAACATTTTTATTAATGACTTGACTAAAGACATAAATGACATGTGTATCAAGTTTGCAGATGGCACCAAGTTGGGAAGGACAGCAGACAGTGGATGAAAATCAATAAACATTTATTCAGTGCCTGTTATGTACTAGGCAGTACACTAAGTGCTTTGGATACAAAAATAAAAATGAAAGTCACTGTCCTCAAGGAGCTTATACTCCATGGGGTCACATAAATATATACAAATAAATACATTAGGAGATGAGGAGTGGTCAGGAAAAGTTTCATATAGAAGGTATTGCTTGAGCTGAGCTTTAAAGGAAATGGGATTTTTTTCATTTTTTTTTTTTTTGAGACAATCAAGGTTAAGTGACTTGCCCAGGGTCACACAGCTAGCAAGTATCTGAGGCCTGATTTAAACTTCAAGGGCTGGTGCTTTAGCCACTACACCACCCCGCTGCCCCAGATAATGGAATTTTAAGAGGTAGAAGTGAAGAAGGCATGGTCTCTAACCAGTTCAAAGGCACTGAGACTAGAAATGGAATGTTGTAGGTGAGGAACACCAAGGCCAATCTGCCTGGACCTCAGAATTCCAGAAGGGGAATAATGTATATCAGGGTTAGAAAGGCAGGCCAAAACTCTGTTGTGAAGGGCTTTAAAAGCAAAACAGAGTTTATCTGGATTCACTGGCCTCCAAGCTGAGTTGGCTCTTCCAACTCTCCAATTCCGTGACCCTGTGATATTTGATCCTAATGGCAATAAATAGCCTTTGGAATTTGTTGAGTAGAGGAGAGACCTGCACGTTAGGAAGATCTCTTTGGCAGCTGTGCGGAACATAAATTGGAGAGACTTGAAATGGGGAGACCAATCAGGAGGCTAGGGTGATAGTCTTGGCAAGAGAAGATGAGGGCAGGAGCTGGGTGAATGCAGAGAAAGGACAGGTAGGAAAAATGCTGTGAAGGTCGATTGTCTGTGAACCTGTGGATTGACTGGATATGTAGGAGTGAGGGAGAGTGAAGAGTCGAGAGGGACCCCAAGGTTGTGAACCTGGGTCACTGGAAGGATGGTGATGCCTTCAATAAAAACAGGGAAATTTGGAAGAGGGTGGGTTTGGGGGAGAAGATGATGAGTTCTGTTTTGAACGGGTTGAATCTTCGGTGCCTGCCAGACATCCGGCACAGCTGAAGGTGTGTAATTGGAGAGACAGTTCTCAATATTTAGCTCAGGGAGTCATCTGCTTAGAATTAAACCCATGAAAGCTGCTAAGGTCACCAAGTGAGAAAGGATAGAGAAGAGAATAGGGTTAGGGTAGGAGGAGAGCCACAGGAAAGAAGCAAGCCATGAATAGTAGAGTCCTTGCTTTCAAGCTGGAAGATATTTTACAGACAACTTCATCCACCCCCACCCCCTTGAGAAACTAAGGCTGGGTCAGTCACACAGGTGGTAAGCAACAGAGCTGGAATTGGAATCCAGGCTCTCGGCCCCCCAACCCAGCAGAGGGAAAGGGGACCGAGGGGTCACCAGACCAGGATGAAGGAAGAGAGGAGACAGTCTCTACAAGGCTCTCCTGGACGCCCACTGCAGGAACAAGGGGTCCCGAGTGGCAAGTCAAGATCCAAAAAGTCATGCCAGGCTAGAAATAAAGCAGAGATAATGCCAAGCCTTTAACAAGTGTGGAACATGAACAAGAGCGAGCTGGAAGGCTTGGGGCTCCACAGCACTTCACCTGCCGAAGATCTACGGTTGTAGTGCGCTTCATTTTCAGGAAGAATTGTGGTAAGACCGCCACCAAATCGAATGGGATCTTCAGGTGCATTGACCGTGGCCCCCAGCCCGGCCAGACTACATCTGGAGTATCCTGTTCTGTTCCAAGGACAGCATTTCAGGAACAACACTGGTAGACTAAGAGACCCGTCCTGTGAAGGAGCTGAGTATGTTTAACTCGGAGAAGAGAAGACTTAAGGGCACACACAGAAGAGCTGTATTTTATGTATTTGAAAGATTAATTAGCTTGTTTTGCGTGGCCACAGAGGGCAAAACTGGGAATGGTAAGTGGAAGTTACTGAGAAGCGGGTTTAGGCTGAATCTTAGGGAAAATTTCCCAACAGTTAGAGCTATCCAAATATGGAATGGGCTGCGCCGGAAACAGTGGGTTCCCCCTCACTAGGAGTGTAGCAGGCATTGTTCTAGGCAGTAGGGGCAGGAAGACAAAAGCGAGAGCAGTCCTTGCTGGCCTCTAGGTTGGACTCAGTGAGCTCGAGTTCTAATACTCTGTGATTCTGAGTGTGCACAAAGAAAGACACAAGGATGGGGTGGGGAGAAACAGAGTCAGAAGTGAGAGGCAAAGATTGAAAAGTTTGTGTTGTGGGGGAGAAAGAAACAGGAGAGACAGATGGAGAGAGAGCTGGGGGGGACACAAGTGGGAGTGACGTGGACAGAGTGAACACAGGAAAAGGAGACAAAGACAAGGAGGATGAGTGCAGGGACATGTGAGGCAGATGGAGGGATCATGAAGACGAGGAGATTAGCACAGATACGTGGACCAAGAAAGACAGATAAAAGAGATTGTCAGAAAGGTGGGAGATACCTGCAGTGAGAGGAACAATGTCATAGGCTTGGAAGTGGGCCTCTGAAGATGGGAAAGGATGAGAGCTAAGAGAAACAGGGGAAAGATGTACAACCGGTGTACAGCTGACGATCTGAGACCCAGATATGAAGCAGATGCCCGAGAGATAACCCGGAGATGGGAGACGTGCACACAGATGGGAAAAGACGTGAATACTGACATATCAGAGATGGGTAGGGAGAGAAGAGGCAGCTTAAATACTAGGAGATGTGCCCAAAGATAGGCAAGTCCTCTACTTCAAGGATCCCTCTCCCTGCCTGCCTGCCTTCATTTCTGAGTTGATGACGTCTGGACGGAGCAGAGCACAGCTGGACGGTATAAGGAGAGGTCCAGGTCGGGGGCTGGGGTCAGACAGCCGGAGACAATTCCGCCAGGGATCGATGTAGTCTTCCCGACAGTTATTGGATTGTTCTTGCCGCTCGGGGCTCTCGGCTCCTCCCAGTATCCTGTGCTCCTGACCTGCCCACCTCCCCGCCTACTAGCAGAGATTTTCAAGGGTCCTGTTGGCTATGGCAGGAGGGATGAAAACAAGCCAGATAGTCCCCGCCCCTACTCTCTCTTCCTCTACCCTTTCTTGAGGGACATTATTTATCACTATCCCCTCATTCCTCCTGTCCTCCACTGGCCCACTTCACAGAACAAATCCCCTTAATAAGACGATTTGTTCTGTAAAACTTGGACCCAGTCAAAAGGCCGCACCCAAGGACCTAGAAGGCCACATGTGGCCTCAAGGCCACAGGTTCCCCACTCCTGGCTTGGTCTGACCTCAGGCAGGATTGGTCAGTCAACAAACATTTATCAAGTACATCCTATGTGCCGGGCATCGTGCTAAGTTCTGGGATACAAAGAAAAGGGGAAAATAGTCCCTGTTCTCCAGGAGCTCATGGTCTAATGGGGGAGATGTACGCAGGATATCTTGGAGAGAGTCAATAGAGGGAAGGCCTAGAATGAAGGAGAACCAGGAAAGGCTTCCTGTAAATGATGGGATTTAGCTGGGACTTAGTGAAACCTGGTAGAGATGAGGAAGGAGAGTTCTAGATATGGAGGACAGCCAGAGGAGATACCTGGAGTGGAGAGATGGGGGCCCTTGTGTGAGGACCAGAGTACATGGATATGAGTGAAGTCTTCAGACTGGAAGGGCAGGAGTGGCAGGTTCTGAAGGCTTTGGATACCAAGCAGAGGGTTTTCTGTTTGATTCTGGAGGTGTTAGGGAGCCACTGGAGTTGTTGTTGAGGGTGGAGAACATGGTCACATTCCTTCTTTTTGGGAAGATCAGTCTGGAGGTTGAGCGCAGGATTTCCTGGAATGGGGAGACCAACCAGAATGCTATTGCTATAGTCCGGGCATAAGGTGATGGGGGCTTACATCAGAGAAGTAGCCATGTCCAGTGAGGGAAAGCAATGTGTACAAGGGACATTGTGAGGGGAAAATCAACAGACCTTGGCAACAGATTGGCTATGGATGGGGTGAGAGAGAGTGATGAGTCAGAGATGATATAGGGTTTTTCAGCTTAGGCAACTGGGAAGATGGTGTTGCCCTTAACAGTAACAGGGAAGTTTGGAAGAGGGAAGGCTTTTGGGGGAAAGCTAACGAGTACATTTTGGGGCACATTAAGCTGTTCCTGAGACATCCCATTGGGCAGTCCAGGAGGCACCTGGAGATGTGAGTCTGAAAGTCAGCAGAGAAGTCAGGGCCAGATAAGCAGATGTGAGAATCGTCAGTATAGGGACAGTAATCAAATCCCTGGGAGCTGAGGAGATCCCCAAGTGAAGCCCCATAGAGAGAATAGAGAAGAGGGCTCAGGACAGACTCTGAGGGATGCCTGTGGTGAGAGGGCCTGATTTGGAGGGAGCTCCAGCAAACGGGGCGGAGAAGGAGCAGTCAGAGGTGGAGGAGGAGAATGGGAGGGGGGAGGGAGGGGGGAAGAGAGAGAGAAGGAGGGCGGAGGGGGAGAGAGGGCCAGAGAGAGGTGTCCCAAAAACCTTCTCTAAGAAGAGAGAATCAAGGCGAATGATGAACAGTATCCAAGGCTACAGAGAGGTCAAGAGGGCATCAGCGTTAAGAAAAGACGATTAACTTGGTAACTTTCAAGAGTTTGAAAGAGTGAAAGGGAAGCAAGTGGAGAAACAGATTAGAGATGGCCTTCCCCGGAGTTTAGCCACTAAAGGCAGGGGAGGTACGGAATGGTGGTGATTGGGGGTGAAAGGGCGAAGTGCAGGTTTCTTGAGGCTGAGGCAGACAAGGCAGGAGGGACGCAGCCAATAGAAGGGATGAGATGGAAGACAAGTGAGGGTAGTGGTGAACGGGGGTGGAGATCTGCTAGAGAGGATAGAAGGAATGGGATCACTGGTGAATGTAGAGGGATTGGGCAGTGGGGTGTAACAAAACTCTCCCCATCTTTGCCCTTCCCGTCTCTCTTCTCTCCTTAGTGGTGCTTTGGGATCCACCTGAGGACTGGGGGCTTGGAACCACACTCAGCCTGGAGGAGCAGGTGCTCAGCTCCACTTTTGAAGCTTGTGACTCAGAAAAGAAAGGTGAGGAGAGGGTACGCTGGGAGATCACGGGGGATGGGAAGGGCCTGGACTGAGAACCTTGGAGCAGAGGGGATAGAATGTGGAATTCTAGTATAACATGACTGAGCTGGCCTGGGGCCTTTAGGGGAAGTACTTAACTGACCTGGCTGACCTGGTGAGAGAATAGGGTGAGACTGAAGGAGCCCTGGGAAGGGAGGAGAAAGATGGGGTGTCTTGGGGAAGTGGATGCCTTGGAAACACTTAGGATTGGACCAGAGGACCCTTGGGGAAGAGGTTGCCCTGGCCTGGGGATCCCTGGGAAAACCATGGGGAGAGCCAAGGCTGAACTTAGCCCAGGCCCCTCCCTGCTGTCCCCAGGTGTGGTAGCTGTGGGTCAGGTTCTGGCGTACCTGGAAGCAGTCACAGGGCGGGGTCCCCAGGACGATGACCTCTGCAGCCTGGCCCAAGCCCTGGACCCCCGCGGGGAGGGTCCTGCCGCCACTGTAGACCGGGCCACTTTCTTCAGCAGCATGCGGGGCTGGATCGCCACCTGCCAGCTGGGGCCGTGGGTACCACCTCTTGTTCTTCTTCTCTTCCCCCGGGGTCTCGACCCTGTGTCTGACCCCAGATCCTCCTATGGAAGCCTAGGGTTGGTTAGGAGGTGGAAAGGGGGGGCGCCGGTCCCCGTCCATCCATCTTCTTTGTCTCTCCTCCCTGCCCTTCATCGTTCCATATGGGCCTGACCTCTCACTCACCATCTGGCCTCCCTCTCTGTCCTGCTGGGCCTCCTCCTCTGGCCTAGGCTTTCCTCCTGCTGCTAGCCCAGGAGGGCCGGGCCTGCAGGCTTTCTGAGCTTCCTCTCTCTGCTGCAGGGGATTAGATCGAGAGGAGGAGGCAGCCGTGGAACCCAGCCTTCTGCCATCTGGTGAGGACTCTATTTATAGCCTGAAGCAGGCACGGCCAGGGTCAGATGGCAGGGGGGACTTCCCAGGGAGCCCCTGAGGACCTCCAAGGAAGAGGGCTCTCCCCCTTCCTGCATTCTAACCCCTCCAGAGCCTTGGTCCAAGGGCTGGTCCACTCTTCCTGTCCCCCATCCCTTCTGGGCCCTCCCAAGCTCTCTCCTTACTCCTGCTACTAGGCCTTACCCTCATTCCATAGCTTAGTACTGTGGAAAGAGCATTGCATTTAGAATCTTAAGACCTTTTGTCTGCTACTCACTTTGACCCAGGGAAAGTCTCTTCCCCTCTCTGGGCCTCAGTTTTCTCATCTGTCAAATGAGTTTACACTAGATGCCTCCTAATGTTCCTTCTAGCCCTAAATCCTCTGATTTCCTGTGCCCCATTTCCCTCCCAGGGAAAGCCTCAATCTGTCTCCATGTAGGGCCTAGCTCCTTGACCTTGGGAGTCAGAGGCTCTCTCAGATCGGTGCCTGGGCTATGCTCATGGAGGTCTCCTGGGTGTCTGTGTCCATGTTGCCTTAGGAGACCCTGCCCAACTGGAGAGCTTTGGAGGCGAGGAACCTGGGCCTGAGCCGTAAGTAGGCCCTGGAGGGAACCACTGGGGAAACAGTAGCATTTCTTAAGCTCTGGCTTTGCACCAGGAGCTATGCTGGTGGTAAAGATAAAGGCACAGAAGTTAGTCTAGGCCTCCAAGGAGCCAAAGGGAGAGACACACACACATACACAAGGTAAGCTCGGGCACGAAGGTTCTCAGTCCCTTGGCTCTTGGCAAACACCGGGAGCAGGGGGAGGAGGGGAAAATGGAGACAGGCAGAGAGCGAGGCCTCCTAAACCTGGTGGAGCCATGTTCGTATGGCCAAAGCCTGGGTGATGCCGACCCATAGAAAACCCAACCCCCCTCTCAGAGATGGGGTCCCAGAAAGGGGAAGCAGAAGACTGGCCCTGCTGACCACGCTGTCCCTCCTTTGTCCCACAGGCCAGCCACAGCTGAACTGCTCAGCAGCCTGGAGGAGCTGGAACTCAGCAATCGGAGGCTAGCAAGTGAGAACGCCAAGCTACAGAGAAGTGTGGAGACAGCTGATGAGGGGGCTGCCCGTATGGGGGAGGAGCTGGCCTCCCTTCGAAAGCAGCTCCGCAGGTATGCAGCTCCAAACACCCCAGGGAAGCCAAGACCTTCCCACCCTGTTTCAACCCCTGGATGCTCAAGGAATTCTGCTCCCTTTGAGACCTTCTCCCCAGGAACCTCTCAGTCGCCCCAGTTCTGACCTCCTTCAGGGGGATTGCCTGCTCTACTTCTCCTGGAGAACTTTAGGGTTCCTACTCTACCCTGACCTTCCCCACAGTTCTCTCATCCACACCTCCTCTGGGAGGTGGGGCACAGTATGCCCCTTGATGACCATCTCTTCTGACCTCCCCAAGTGTCTTGAATAACTCCCGGGGCCCTAATCTCCGAGATCCCCAGTGGCTATTAACTTTCCCCCAGGGTCTCCTCCAGTTGGGCCCCCTTCCCACTTTGTCTCTCACTCTAACTTTCCTCCCAACATTCTCCACTAGTGCCCATCTCCCTTATCTTTCCTGGCTTAGTTCCCAGCAGGCTTTGCAGTTTGCCAAGGCTGTGGATGAGGAACTGGAAGATATGAAGAGTCTGGCCAAGAGCCTAGAGGAGAAGAATCGCAGCCTTGTGGCCCAGGCCCGGCAGACGGTGAGCAGGGGTCCCAGGGGGATCCGTTCTTGCCCCAGGGGTTGAAGGAAAGCCTATGCCCATACTTCCCCTGGCCGCAGTCCTCTATTACTGGCACAGAGCCTCCCAAGACTCCTCCAAGAGAGTTTTTCAGGGGATAGATGGACGAGTGGGTGACTGGGGGAAGGAGGAGAAGAGACCCTGGGGCTGAGTCTGCAGTGGGAAGGCATGTGGTCAGTCCTCTCGGGGAGTCCTTGGCAGATCTCTCTGCCACTCCTCTTGCTGCTGCAAGCTAGCCCAGTTCCATGTGACTCTAAGCCTGAGTTCCACAAAGGCCCTTCAGTCTGGCTTGGGATGGGAGGGCCAGGCCCAGGGGCCCCCAGTAATGGGCTTCTGTTTTCCCGTGCTCCCTGGGCAGGAAAGAGAACAGCAGGAGCTGGTGGCCGAGGTAGAGACGCTGCAGGAGGAGGTAGGCCCGGGAAGTGAGGGAGGGCTGTGGGCAGGGGCTAAAAGTGACTAACAAGGCCTCACCAGGGGAAAAAAGCAGTAATCATCCTCCTCCGACCACAGAATTAACGTTCTCACCATCCCTAGACAGCCAAGCACTGGTTTATGGGTTTTCCAATTTCTGAGGCATAAGTCCTCCCGCTGAAAACCTACCATAAGCTCTCAGGAGCTGGTGAGAGCTGGCTGCAGCACAGGCCTGGCATCCCCTGTCTTCAAGGGGGCAGAGGACAGTCCCAGCCTCCCTGTTCAAGGTTCATACCAAACCAGGGGCCACCCCAGGCCAGGAGAGAGCTATCCATGGATTCATCAAGTCAAGAATTAGGGCTGGAAGGGGCTAAGAAATCAGAAAGCCCTTTTCTGGAAGACAAAACACAGGCCCAAGGAAGGGAAAACTTGTGTCCACAGTCATACAGTAAGTCTTCCAGGCCAATCCTGTCATTTTTCCAGTAAGAAAACTGAGTCCCAGAGAGGTGGGTCCAGGGCACAAGCTTCCAGAAGTGATGAGAAGCAAAGCCAGGCCTCGGACACAGGTTGTCAGACGCCAAGGCCACCAAGCCCCCAGAGCTGCTGAGTTGCTGTTGCATAAAGCAGAGTAATCTTCGTGTTAGGCCCAGGTGCTCTGGGAGTTACCCAGAGCCCCAGGGAAGCAGCAGCCACTGCCAGGCCACATGGTCCTGGAGAAATAGGAAAAGCCCAGTATGTATCTGTCGGGCCCAGTCCCTCTCCAGTAACTACTTGCTGCTCACGAGGGTCACATAGGATGATACTCACATTGAGTCACAGCAGAGACATCCTAGAGGGCCACTGGGACCCCTGAGCTGGGAGCAGGAGGGCACCTGACCCACAAGCGAGGGCAGGCTGGCCCAGGCCCAGTCCTGCCACTTCATGAGGCCCGAGCCGAGGGCCGTTAACGTGATCCTGGGGCCTCGATGGCCTGACTCTGAGATGCCCCCACGGTAACTCCAGAGGGCGAGTCCCACAGACCAGTGTTGAGGTGATGAGACCACAATAACTAAGGAATAGCTGACCGCCTCTCCTGTCCATACCTGCTCCTGCCAGCTGGGCAGGTGGTGACTCAGCAACCTGGCCAGCCTGTCCTTCCCCTGCCCTTCACCGAGCAGCCTGAGGCAGCTGAGGGAGACAACACCGCCGCCGGGAGCTGGCCGGGAGCCCGGCCTGGGCAGGGCCTCTGGGAGGGGGGAGGTCCAGGGACCCGGGTCAGAGCGAGGCAGGTCTCCCTGAGGCACGCTGCTTTTCGTTCTTCCCCAAAGCCATCCTCCATCTCCTGGGCTGCTCCAGGAGCCTCCAGCCTGCTCTTTTCTCTGTGTCCTGCCAGAATGGAAAGCTGCTGGCCGAGAGGGATGGTGTAAAGAAGAGGAGTGAGGAGCTGGCTGTGGAGAAGGAGGCCTTGACGGTACTCCCCGCTTTGGGCCCACACTCTGGCTCAAGCCAGGTCCCCACACTGAGGAGACCCTGGTCTAGGAGAGATGGTGGAATGAATGTCAGTGATCAACAGGGCCAGTGGCCTCATTTTATAGATGGAGAAACTGAGGCCCAGGCGGGGAAGACACTTGCCCAAAGTCACACAGCTGCTAAGTGGCGAGTGCTGAGATTGGACCCAGGTCTCCTAACTCCAAATTCCTGCTACTCCTGGCTGCCTTTTCTGGGGACTGACCATGCTGAACTCACTGGTGGGAGGATGGGGCGGTGGGGCGGAGTCTTAGGGGATGGCAGCTGATGTGGGAAGGTTTGAAGGCGAGACTGCTGGAGGTTGTCCTAATGGGGCACACACCCCAAAAGAGCTGGGGGGTGGGAGGGAGGACAAGTTGACCTCCTGGGGGCTTCAGGTTAAGCTCAGGCATGAACAGATGGACTGGCTTCTCTCCCTCCCTGCAGCGTCAGCTGTGTGAGTATGAGAGCCTCCTTTGCCATCGAGACACTATCCTTTCTGAGGTGAGTGGGGTGGAGGAAGTGAGGGGGGTTAGCATGCCAGGTGGGCCACCCCTCCCCTCCTCCTGCTGCTCAGTCTCACCCTGAGGTGAGAGGATTAGAGGACAAGGGCCGTCCCTGGGCTCAGCAGTGCGGACAGAGGCCAAGGCTTCTGCACCTGGCCCTTCTCCCAGGCTCCACCTCCCCATGAAGTCAGGGACCCAGGGCACCAGGCCCTGGCTCGTTTTCCTCACCCACTTCCCTTCAGTAACTGTGGTCTGCTTCTGGGCTTGCCAGCGGACAAACCGGACCGAGAATCTGACTGAGGCCTTGGAGGAGTATAGGGCCACAATCCAGGTGGGTCGCTGGGCCGCTCCCCACTCTGCTTCCCTTGGGAACTGCCCTCTCCCCATCTCGGTCTTTGTACTTCTGGAAGGTAGCTCTCTAACAATGGGCCGGAAAGGGTGTCCAAGCAGAGGCTCAGGCACCTCTGGTCCGGAATGGGGACCATAGAGAGGACACCTGCACTGGGTGAGAGGTTGGACCGGAAGAGAAGGGGAGAGCCGGGTAGCTGGGGAAGGTGCTTATACTCCCTTCATCCTAGGAGCTGAAGCAGAAAATCTGCCACCTGGAGGAACAGCTGAGTCAGAGCCGGGAGGGGCCTGAGGGGTGAGTGAGGGAGGAGACAGGGAGGCCTGTCCCAGCTCTAGCCCCCAGGGAGAGGCCCCTGGGGCAGCAACAGTACTAGAGGACTCAGACTAGGAAGCCCAGGGGAGGGGGGAGGGGGGAAGGGGGAGGGCCAGACCGACTTCTCAATGGTCTGACCAGGTTTCAAGAAGGGACCCAAGAACTAGCTGGCGGATGGATAAAGCTGCACCCCCAGTCACTGTGCTTGGAGATGGAGGCCATTCAGCAGGTGAGACTGTCCCCCTCTAAGGAGAGGCCACAGATGCAGCCCTAGCTCCCCCAGGTTGCCCTGACCAGCCACAGGTCTTTACCTGAAGTCTGTGACCAACCCTTTCCCCTCCAATGTGAATCAGTGTCCTGACCTCTGGGCTGCAGGAGGTCAGCCAAGGATGCAGGCCCCTCTCCTTGTAGAAAACCATCAGAGACGGCACACAGTGGGCTCTAGTGAAGGTTGGACTGTGGCTCCATCCCTCCCCTGGGGCTGGGGCTGGGGCTCGGGCCCTCCAGGACAAGGAGAATAGAGGGGGCTAGTAAGTCAGCTGCTGCCCCATCAGCCTGCCCCTGACGAGAGCTTCACCCTTGACTCTTCTCCTGACCCAGTCTGGCCCCAACCCAGCTTCTGGCCCTAACTTGAACCCCCACCAATGACCCCCTCCTGAGCCCTGATTCGGGCCCCATTCCCATCCCCCTAGCTGTAACCATCCCGCAAACCCTGGCTCTCTCCATTGTTATGCCTTTCCCTAATCCCCAGACCACTATCAAGGCTCCAACTCTGGGCCCAGACTTCTGCCCATTTCAGTGTCAGGTTATAACCTGCCCCTCTCGCTTCTCCAGCCCAGCCTCATCCCTTTCTCTCTCTCCTGCCCATAGTCGACCCCAACCCCCAACCCCATCTGTTTTCTCTCCATGGCTGTCCTTATCTCCCCCATGCCAGTGATGACCCCCTTTCCCAGTCCTCTCTGATCTCGGCCAGAACCTGTCCTCATCATTTCCTTCATTCTCTCTCAGAGACAGGAGATGGGTACGGGCCTTCTCAACCCTCTGTGTGGTTCTCAGCCTTGGGGAGAGCCCCTGGACGGAAAGGGAGGAGCTGGGGTCCCAGGTAGACCCCTAGCTGAGGAGCTGGTGAGTCAGGAGTGGGGGCTTCTGGGACTTCAGAACCTGGGGTCAGGGGAAGGTAGATTATTCTAGACTTGGGAGGGGATATCATTTCTATCCCAGAGGCCTTTTGATTAAGCAGCGGGCTTACTCTGTATTGGTTTAGACGTTTAGGATGCCCTAGGATAGGGGCACTTAGCATTTTTTTGTCTCATGGACTCCTTTGGCATCTGATAAAGCCCATAGACCCCTTCTAATAATTTCAAATACAGAAAACAGTATACATGGGATTAGAAAGGAACTGATTACATTGAAATGCAGTTATCTGAATTAAAAATAACCATGTTCCTGGAGCCCTTGGCTGGAGGGTGGGGGGAGGGGAATTTTCTGAGCTGGAGACTGGGAAGGAGCTGGGGGTGTGGCGAAGGAGGGCAGTCGAAGCAGAGGGATGAAGGAGGGGGGTCTCCATGCTGACCCATCCACGCCACCCCGTTCCCTTCCCAGATAACTGTCCAAGAGAAGTCAAGTGAATCCCTCAGCAGCTGGGAGGAGAGTTCCCGGTGAGGATTCAGCCTTCATTATCCTGCCTCAGCTTCCCCTCTCCCTCTCAGGCTGTGGCCCAGCTGCCACAATGCCTCTGGCTCCAGTCACTCAGAGGAGCTGAAGCCCAGTCAGTGCCTCAGACTGTCCAGCCCCAGCCCATTCAGGGACCCACCCGAGACCCCCTTAGTGCTTCATGTTGGTGCCCCAGCCCTCCGATACCAGGAATCGTGCCGCCCCCCACCCTGCCCCATAACCCAACTTCCTGTGCTCCCAGCCTGGCCCAGCTGCATGCCTCCAGCCTCCATCCCCCACATCGGCTCTCACTCCCTCCCCTGTCATGCTCCCCCCGCCTCGGCCGAGTTCCTTCCTGTGCTGCTTCTAATAGGGCTGCCTTGGCTGCTAATTGGACTTGTCTGCCAGCTGAGATGGGGCTGTGTAGGGGTCCCAGAGAGGTGATCCTCCCACTAGCATTAGGTGCTGTGCTCCCTAAGGGAGTGGGTATATAGGCCTGGGGCCCATGGGAGGGTGGGGGACCCTGAAACTGGGGTCTCTGAGGGTTTGCGGGCTGAGGCCCAGATGCTTGGATCCCCACAGGAAGTAAAGTGGGACTGACTGAGACCTCTCTGGGAGGAGCTGGGCTTTATTGGGAAGAAGGTGGATGAGCCTCGTGGGCCCCAGAAGGAGAAGGGGGTTCTGTTAGGCTGGGGAGAAAGAACAGAGAATGAGGGAGAGAGTAGTAGCAAGGCTGGAGGAGGCTGGGATCACCTTGGGTCCTTCCACAGGTTACGTGGAGAGAAGGGCAGCTGCGGACAATGGGACCATCAGAGAGCTGGCGAGGAGGGAAGGCCCCGAGACGTGGTATTGAGGCCCCAGCCCCTCTCTTTCTGATGACTCCACAGATGGACACGGTTGTTTGTATACACACACACACACACACACACACACACACACACACACACACACACACAAACACACCAGCTCCTGGTGTGCTGAGGGTTGGATAATAAGGCACTCAATGCCTCTAATGAGCCCGAAGGCACAGCAGGGGTTCGTGGGAGGCAAGTCTCGCCCCAGGGGAACCTCCCCCAACCCCTCCACACCAGCCGACACCCAGATAAGCACATGTGCGAGCACGCGTGTGGGCACACACACACCCTTTAGATACATCTGAGAGTGTCAATACATTGAAAGCAGGCAGGTGACTGGCCACCCACAGAGCTCCCTGTCGACTGGGCCTGGTAGCACAGACTGGACGCTGGAAGAAGGGTCCGGAGCTGTGGAAGAAAGCCTGCACTGAATCCTGGCTTCTCTGCTTCGTGGGCAGGGCTGGTCAAGTGGCTTCTCAGAGCCTCAATTTCCTCATCTGCAAAGTGAGGTTAAATTAAATGATGTCACGATTCCGGGGTGTGGAAGGCAGTGCAGACCGTAGGCATGGCCAGGTCTAGCTTGTGATTGGCAGCCATGGGGCTGTTTCCTGAAGACATCTAGTGGGCCCCAACCTCAGGAGCCTTCCACTGCCGGGCTGCTGGAAAGAGAAGTATAGTTCAGCTAAGGCACAATCCCTGCCCTCAGGGAGCTCCCAGTCACTAGAGGGGTAGGACCCTCTAACTCTGTCTAACATTATGTAGTATGGGTGCATCTGAGGGCCAGTGGGGAGGGCAGTGAGGGCAGGGGGCAACAACTCTGGACCAGAAGAGCAAGGCGGGGTCCTGAAGGAAACTGCACAGTATGGAGCAAAAAAAGCAGAACCCTGAATTTGGAGGCCAAGCCCATTCCCCAGCTAGCCTCTATTTCTCTATTTGTAAAAGCCTCTTGATGGGAAGGCATTCAGCAGGCAGAGAGGAGAGGGAGGGCATTCTGAGTACAGGGAACACCTCAATTGTGTGAGCAAAGGCCCAGAGACTGGAGATCCCAAGTCACCCAGGATGCTTCATTTGCCTGGGACCTGCAGATTTGGAGGAGGGCTGGGCTGTTTGACCTTGACTCAGTGGGCAGTCGACTTTGGCCAGATCTGTAACTCGAAGGAGCATTCTGAGAGCTGGTGACGATCATGTGGTACAGAGGAAAGAGATCCTGGGGGCAGTGCGCCTTGGCTCCAATCCCACGTACTACTTACATGATCTGGAGTCCTCAGTTTCCTTGTGTGTAAAAGGAGGGGGGTGGATTCCATGTCCTGGGGTCCTTCCCATCACTACAGTTATAAGTGCAAAGAATAACTCAGAGGGGCGAGAGTAGAGGTAAGGAGCCTTTTAGGAGGCTACACTATGCTTGGGGTAGGTGAGGATTAGGATCTGTAGCAGGGAGGGGGCTACGGGAATAGAGGGAGGGAAGGGGCATGAAAGAAAGATGTTTGGCAGCAAAATTAAAAAGAAACTGAGGCAGGAAACATGGAGGGGGAATCCTTAGGACTTGAAAGCTGACTGGGAGGTGAGAGAAAGACGAGTCCAAGGCAACCCCCAGATTTGGGATGAGGGAGCCAGGGGGCCTGGCGGAGGATGACAGTGTTACAGTTACTTTGGGGTGACTAGCTGTGGGGTGGTCTACAGGGGTTCCAGGGCAGCCCTTCTTTGCTTCCTCAGGCTGGACACCCAGTTACCCTTGGGACCCCCCAACCTGGAGACAGGCTATGCCCTGATGCCGAGAGGTGAGGAAAGCAGGCAGGGGCCGGAAGGGGAATGGATGTGAGGCCCTCACTGGCCAAACACTGTGCTGTAGCAAGAGGGGCCAGAGTGCCTGGGCCCTGCTACTTAGTACTTGTGTGGCTTGGGCAAGTCTTCATTTCCCCCCTCTAGGTCTCCCTTTCCCATCTGTAAAAGGAGAGGGCTGCCCTAAATGATTTATCAGACCCCTTCCCAACTTCAAATTCCATGTTCTGTAAGTGCTGAGGGTGCCCTTGGTTTCCTTTCCTCTCAGCAGCCCTAGTGAGGCAGCCCCCCATCAGGCCTTGGAGCCTGTAATGAGCCAACTGGTTTCAGCTGGGAGGAGGACAAGCTGGGACCAGATCTATCCCACCCCCTTAGCTGCCCAGAGACTCAGGTAAGCTACCCCTGGGCTCCCAGCTATGGGGTAGGGGTCAAGGTCAGCCCCCAGACTATTACCTCTGGCTGTGTCTGCTTCTTCCAGGATGCCCAGCCTTCCACTGACCCAGCCATCCATCCTGGGCCTCCTGTTACTGTTTCTGCTGCTCTTTGCCCTGGTCCTGTCCTTCTCTCGGCCTCTGACCTGGCCCCACCTCCAACTGAGTTACCGCCAGCCCCCACCAGTGTGAGCCCCCTGCACAGTTTCTAACCCAATAAACTGCCTCCATGCCCCCAGCCTGGCTCTGAGTGCTGTTCCTGGGGGCGCCACTGAGGGCTCCATACTCCTTAAGGAGGCTCTCGGGACCTTGGAGACTGTCACTTCCGTACTGTTCTGTGTACCCTGGAGTTACTCTGTCACTCCTCAGGAATGGGAGTGTGCACTCAACTTGGAGGTCCCCATTTCTGCATCCCCCAAGATATTCAGGGTCAGGAGAAGGAGTGCTGAATGTGGAGTCAGAAGGCCTGTGTTCAAATGCTGGTTCTGCCCCTTAGGGCCTTGGCTTCTTCCAAGTTTCTTCTGTAAAAGGAGGGTTGTGAACTTGTGACCTCTCGCATCCCTCCTAGGATGTCCCAGCAGGAAAGGACTTTCAGGATCATCTAGCCCAACTTCCTCATCCTACAGCTGGGGAAACTGAGACCAGGAGATCTCATTCTCCTACCTAAGAACATTCCATGCACGGTAACCCTAGAATCTTGTTCAGGGTTTAGGCAACTTTTACATGGCTGTCTGCGTGCCAATACAACCAATTAACTCCCTCCGTTCTTAGTCTGGAGTTTTCTTTGGGCCAATAAGAAAACCGTCTGCGCCTAGCTGGACCACCTTTGGACTTCCTAGGATGGGCGAAGTCAACTGGGAACATTGCTATCTGATAGCTAGTGATGCCCACTTTCTCATGCCTCCTGGAGGATTTTGGTGCTCTCTCAATCCTGCCTCCCTCCGGGTACCCTGACAGCCAGCCTTCTCTTCCCACCCCCCCCCCCAACTACATCCCACTGGTGTTTGGCTTTCCAGTCTGTGCTGGGGGTGGAGGGTGGGGGCGGTGTTTAGGAAGGGCAAGAGAAAAATGGGCCCTGGCAGGCTCAGGTCCACAGGTTCAGAAAACCAGAAACAGATCGAGAACCATGGAGAGCAAGAGACAGGCAGAGAAAAGATGGAGAACGGAGTCAGGGAAGAAAGTCAGAAGAGAAAGGAAACAGAAAAAAGGGCAGACTGAGCTGGAGACGAGAAAACGACCCAGAAAGCCAGAGGCAACAGGACCAAGGAAAAGGAGACGCCCACCCAGGGACACAAAGCGGGACGCAGGCCCGGGGAGGCGAGCACGCGGGCACCGAAGCTGGACACGATCACCGAGTCGGGCTGATGGAAAGGTGGCTCCCACGGGACAGGGGCAGGGGTGCGGTCACCTCGGTCCCCCAGGCTCCCCTCCCCCCAGGCTTCCCAGCGCAAGAAAAGCACACGAGGCTGAGAAAAGACGAGGAACTTTTATTGGGGGGGCAGCAGGGGCCTGGGGGAGTTCCGCGTCAGTCGGCGGCCGCATCGCTGACCACCAGGAGCTTGTGCATGTAGGAATTGAGCCAGCGGCGCCGCTCCAGGGCGGCCAGCAGCCGCGCCCGCTCCCGAAAAGCCGCGTCGTCCGCCACCACCAGGCGCCGTTGGGGTCCGGCGCTTGGGGCTGGGTCCTGCGGGCGGGGGCCTGCCCGCCCCGTCAGCTGAAGGCTCCAGTCCCTCAGGGTCAGGAAGGCGGGAGGGTGGACCCACGGGAGCCACGAGCTGCAGGGCGGGGAGGGAGGGGGAGAGAGATGGGCACCCGGGCTCCCCGCCCCCGCTTTTCCCCAACCCGATCCGTCTCAGAAAGGAAGGCTACCACCGCCAGCGAGGTCCGGGGCCAAGCTCCTGCCTCCCCAGCGTGGTTTCTGGTCCCTTTCCAGCTCTCTGAGCTCCCCGCGTCCCAGCCCCGGCTCAGCGTGTCCCCTCCAGTGCCCTCCAGAATCTCCTGCTCTCTGTCGCTCTCTCTCAAGCCTTCCTCGGGGTCTGGTTCTTCTGTCACTCTGAGAGTGTCCCTCAGCTTCTCCACCTCTGATTCTCCCTCAGCTTTGCTGTATTGCTACCTCTCGGCGTCTTTTTGCGTCTCTCTTTCCTATCAGTCACACCTCACGCTCTCAACCTCTCTGTCTCTGTACGTCTCTCACCCCTGTAACTCTGCGAGGCCGGGGTTCCTGTGCACCTCTGAGGGTCTCTGTGTACGACCTAGGAGAGTATCTCTGGTCCAAACCCCCATACCCACCTGGGGCTCTCAGAGCGGGACAAAACAGCCCCGCCGGCTCCGGGGATCCCAGGCAGCGACAGCAGCAGCAGCAGCAGCAGCCCGCACCGGCGGCGGTGCTCCCGGCTCTTGGGGTCCTCCATCACCTGTGGGGGACACAAGTCCTGCTCAGCGGCTCCGCCCATCTCTCCGATCCCCCTCCAGTCTCCTAGCAGGTCCGGCCCGTACCCGTCTTGTTCTGTCCCGAGGGAAGCGCAGCCTATCTCCGCCACCCCCAAAGCCCTTATATAGGCCCTTGCTGACGCAGGCCCGGGCCAGACGGGGCCGCAGGGTCACGCCGCCCCCAGCCTCATTAAGCTCTGCCGCCGGTAATGAGCAGCCGAGAGCGGGGGAGGCCGAGCGAGCCCGAGCCGGAGTCGGGCCCTAATTGGGCCCGGGAGGGGCCAGGCTGGGGTGGGGAGGCGAGGATGGCGAGGAGAGAAATGAGGGGACAGGTAGAGAGACAAACGGACAGAGAAGGAAGCAAGCGGAGAGGCGGGAATGGGTGGTTAGAGGGAGACGTAGAGAAGTAAGCAAGAAAGAATCATCATGAAAGAGCGGTTCGACGTTCAGACCATCAGAGAGGGAAGCACATGGAGAGACAGACCGTAGAGGGACCACCACGAAGGGGAGGAGAGAGACTGTCGAGCAGCCGTGGCTAGACACGGGTCCGATAGAGAAAAAAACTAAGCGACCAACAGAGAGAGAGAAGAGTGCAAAAGGAGGGAGGGACACTGATGGACAGGGAGAAAGAGATGGTCGGACGGCAGGGTCCGGTAACAGTACCGACAAGTCTATAGTGGGAGCTGCATTCAGGAGACTGCCCACTTTGGAAGCCGGTGTGGGGTGGGATGGGGTGGCGCAAGAGGCCTCTTCTCCCTGACCCTTGTAAACCACCCACCCCAAGCCACAGCTCAGGGCTTATGCAAGTCGAGGCATGACATCTCCGCTGCCCAGTAGAAATGTGAACGCCAAGTGGACCCGCGGTGCCCTACAAGGTCCCAAGAGCAAGGCTGAGAAATGGGAAGAGGAAATAACATCTGGATCCCCCAGGAAAGAGGGAGGGAAAGAATGCCTGGGCCCCCAGCCGGTGGATGAACACCATCCAGGGAGTCTTGCCCGCCCCCTTCCCAGCTCTGTCCCTTTAAGAACAGGCCCGGTCGCCAGGCACCGGGGCTCTCAAGGGAAGGACAGTCAGGTGCGTCACCCCCTCCCCAAGGCCCCGCCTGTATCCTCGTCTCCACAGCTAACCTGCCCTCGTCCAACTTTCTACACCTGCTGCTGCTGCTGCTGCTGCTGTCCCTTCGGCCCTGACCCTCAGGTAAGAAGCCCGCACCTGGAGGCCCGCCCCAATAAGGATCCCAGAGACTCTGTCTCCCCCACCCCACCCCACCCCACCTCAATGCAGTCCATTCAAAACTCCCCATCCAGGAACCCACTGGTGCTGGTTCTCTTCTCCCCCACCTCTTTCTCATAAGGATCCAGGGATCCCCACCAAGTAACTGAGGTGACCTGGTGCCTCCGAGTACCCCTCGACACTCCTCTAGTGCCCAGGTTGGACCCAACTGTCCCCAGATGAAGTACCCAACAGTGCAGACCGTTGTCCCCTCCCTGTGAAGGGATCATGGGATCATAGAGGGATCGCTAAGGGGATCTTAGAGGTCATTTCTAACACTGATTTTAGAGGTGTTGAAGTGACCAAGGTCACACAGAAGAAAATAAGTGGTCGAGCCAGCATTTGAACCCAGGGCCTCGGATTCCAAATGCCACTCTCTCTACCCTGCTCCCAACCCAGGCCACCCCCCCCCCCCCCCCCCCCGGCTATCGCAGGAGTTTGGACCCCCAGTCCCTGTCGCCTACTTGTACACAGGCTTCTCCTCCCCCCAGCCTCCGCCCCTTGGGGACCCCGCATCTCTTTCCCTAGCGGGTCTCTGAGCAACTTCGAGTGTAAACAAGTGAAAGCCGGCTGTGTCCCTCAGGGTGTAAGGGCGATGGGGAAGGCTGTTGACCCCCAGCTCCCTGCTTCCGCTCTCCGGACCTAACTAAGAAGGCCCTGGCAGTGATCAGGGTCGAGGACGGGGGAACTCGGAGACATGTCCCAACCCTCGCCCCTCCAGACCTCGCCCTTCAGGGACCAACGCGACTCAAAGAAGGAGGCAGACTACAACTCCCATGATGCTCAGCACTCCAGTCTCTCTGGGTTGCGAGCTCTGGCGCCCGGAAGCCCACTGGGAGTTGTAGTCCGACCTCACCCTTCCCTCCTGGATAACGTGCTGGTCCCCCGCTGAGGGTCACTGAAGGGGGAGGGAAGGAATGGGGACCTGAGGACCAATGGGAACAACTGAGGGGGGGGACAGCTCCTGGCGTGGCGCCAGCTCCAGGAGTTCCCCAATCTCGCCCGTGTAGGTGAGGCTCAGCTTGTGCGCCATGAGATCGCTGCGGCTCCTCTTTGTCTTCCTATTCCTCCATCTGAGCTCCCCAAGTTCGGAGGTAGCCCCCTCAGCTCCGCCGCCTCCGGTGCCCTCGAAGCAGCACAACGCAGAGGGCAAGCTTGTCCCTGGAGCGACCTCCCCTCCAGAGACCCCTGCCCCGACCCCCCAGCAGTCAGAATCACCAGAAGCCCCCCACTCGATCCCCCCCAAAACTTCCCAGCCAGAATCCTATGAAAGCCCGGACCCTGCTACTCCTGGGGTCGTACTTCCAGAATCCCTGAGGGTCTCTGCCTCAATCCCTCCAGCACCTTCCCAGCCAGGATCCTATGCAACCGAGAGCCCTGGAGCCTCTGAGATTTTACAGCCAGAACCCCACACTTCTGACTCCTCAGCTGTAGACGCAGAATCCCAGGCCAGCCCCAGTCCTGACCTCTCCGAGACTCCCCGCTCTGAATCTGTAGGGGCCTCCAACCTTCCTCTGAAAACTTCCTCCCCAGAACCTTCCAGCGCCTCACAGCATGAGCCCTCAGAGACGGCTCGCCCAGTTCCTGGGATGCCCAGCTCTGAACCCCCAGGACCAATGCAATCCGAATCTCCTGTGACTTTTATCCCTGACCCCCCAGAGACTCCCCATCTGGAATCCTCCCCCGTTGTTCAGTCTGAAGGCCCAGAAACAGCCCACTCAGAATCCCCTGCCTTGCCCAGCCCTGCCCCTCCAGAAATGTCCCACATGGAATCCTCCGCTCCTGCCAGGGCCAACTCCTCGGAAACCCCTTACTTAGAACCTTCCGTAACTTCCCACTCTGGTTTCCCCGAGACTCCCTACCAAGAATCCAGTCAATCAGATCCCCAACCCTCGAAAGGCCCTCAGAACCTACTCCCTGCAGCTGCCCGCCTCCTGGAACCCCCATCTCCCCCTGGTCCACCAGTTCGGGGCAGGCCTCTTCAGCGGCGCCGTGGGAGCGACACTGTGAATACCATCATCGTAGTGGAGCGAGTTCAGGAGACCGGTGAGGGGCTGGGGACCGGGAGGGCCTGAAAGTGGACAGGGATGGTGCCTGAGAGGTCATTTTGCCGCCAGGATGGAATCTCGAGTGGGGAGGGAGAATGATGGCTGGGTCAACTCTGTGGCCAGGGACCAGGACCCGGAAGAAACTGGAAATGGGTGGAGGAGATGCTTAGGTCAACTTTGGTCCAGGAAGTGGGAGATCAGAAGTCTATAGCCAAGAGAGGTGAATGGTCTGGATCATTTTAGGTCCAGTGGTTGAGGAACAGGAAGCCTGTGGCCCTGAGAAAGGTGACTATCTAGGTCAACTTAGGACCAGGGGCTGGAGACTGAGGTACAGGACACCTGGGGTGCCTGGGGGTCCAGTGCTGGGAGAGAGGAAGTCTGGGTCCCAGGAGGATTCGTTTGTTGAGCCTCCCTCCCACCCCGGACTCCCTGCAGGTGTGACCCTGGTGGGTAGGCCTCGCGGCGCGGGAGGCGGGGCTCTGTGCCTCTTTCTGGCAGGGGCCGGGCTCCTGCTAGGAGTTTTCCTGCTCCTTTGGTGTTTATACCGCCGGGCCGCGCGTTCTAGACCCTTTGGACACCATCGGCTGCCAGACGACAGCGATGAACCAGGTGAGTAAAAGGCCCACCTCCTCTCCAAGGCCCCACCCCCCATTGCAGTTAGGCCCAGCCCACATTATTCCTGGGGCTAGAGGCCTCCTCCCTCCCTCTTCCTTCTCTTCATGAAAAGGGCACAATCGCCGCTTCCAATTTCCTTCCTCGTCATTTGGGGGAGAAGGGAAAAGGAAGCACCAGCCGTCAGAGGGAAAGGAAGAAGGGCGGTGTGAAGCCCGGTGGGGGAGGGGCGCCCTGGAGAAAGAAGGAAGGAGACCGCACAAGCGTCACCACTGGAGGGAGGCATTTTCTCGTGTCGGAAAGTTAGATCTGGAGTCTTAGGCCCTGGGTTCGAGTCCTGTGTATCCTCTGCCACTTCTCATTTGGGCATGTCAGAATTCCTTTCCTGACCTGTTTCCTTAGGTGTAAGATGAGGGAAACGGACTAAGCGAGTTCTGCTGTCTCCTCTAGCTCTACATCTATGACTCTGGGTGTGTCTGGGGTGGGGGGTGGGGGGGTAGTGGTGGTGGCTATATCCTGAGACGAGGACTGGAGACCCATGTTTGAGTCCTGGGCTCCGTCATTTCCTTGCCCAGAGACCCTGGGCAAATGACGTGGCTTCCATTCTCTGAGCCTCAGTTTCCCCATCAGTACCATGGGGTGGGGTGGGGGATGGAATTCGGTGGTTTCTCAGGGCAGCTTCCCCCCCCCCACCTCCCCTACACACACTAGCCCAGGAGAGTAGGATTGGGGATGGGGGCGAGCTGAACTCTCCTACCCTCAATGTCTCCCAAAGCTCTCCACCTGGACGCCCCGAAGGATCCTTATGACTTCCACTTTTACGCCCCGGACGCGTGGGTTCCCTCCCATATCGCTACCAAGCAGCCACCTAGCACGCCCCCTCTGCCTCCCAAGCTGCCTCCGCCCCCGGGCCGGACTTCGTCGCCGCCGCGCCTGGAGCCGCTCTCCCCCGCGGCTCTGTCCAACAACTTCGTGTGAGCCCTAGCCTAGATGAGAGACGGGCCCGGGGCCCCCAGAACCCTGGCTTCCACCCAGCATGCTTTGCGCTTGTAGTCCTGACATGGGGAGGGGGAAGGGGGAGAGCCTGAAGTGCTTTGGCTTCCGCTCCTGGGGACCCCACTGAAGCAGAATTAAAACGGATTGTCCCCAGAACTGGTCTCACCCTCGTCTTTCCAAACCTGACTGGATGGCTCGGTCACTAAGGGGGCTGAGGTGAAGGTCTGGGGGCCCTGGAAAGAGGTTGTCGAAGGGGGCGAAGGAGGCTGGAGGTCCAGATATCTGGGGCCACACCTAGGTCTACATTGACACGACAGTATTTTATTTTGACCAGACATGGCACACATTCACACACTCACAAACTGGCCCCTCCACCCTCACCCCAGTAGGGGTCCTCCGGGACCGTAGTCAGCCTTGGGCTAGGAAGGGAAGGGGCCCCGGCTGTAAATCCCTCCTGCCCTGAAGGCCTTGGAAATAAGCTTGGGTGACCACAGCGAAGGCCCCTGACCTGGAGGGTGGAGGCGGGGGAGGAATAAAGTGCAAGGATTTAGGAAGCCTCAGACCATCTCTGAATGCGGCTGCCAAGGGCCTCCTGAACTGGAGAGGCGCTGGCTAGCGCGGTCAGGGTCGGGGGGGAGGAGACTCGGGACTCAACTCAAAACGGCCTTCTAGGTGGCTCCGGGGGACCTGGAAACCACCATTAAAAAGCCTGAGAAATTCCCATTTTGGTTTTTGTTTGTAGGGAAACTTTGAAACCACAACTGATGGAGAGATGAGGGTCTTTCTATGAGGGCCTGAGGCTTGGAAGGGTGTATGTTGTAGTTTCAAAATCTTTTATCATTGAAAGGAGGGGCTTTAAAATTGGCGTGTAGTTAATGCTGTAGCAGAAGTGGGCCCTAGAAACAGCTGGGGAAAGTCGGGGCGTTGCTAGAGGGGAGCTTGAAACCTCTGCTCTCTGATAGAAACGCTGGTGAGAATCAATCCTTGGAATGGATTGGGGGGGTGGGGTGGGAGGAATGGGCGGGACTTCAGCCCCTCCCTCTCCTGTGATTGGCAAAAATTCAATTGGGCAATGAGGAAGGGGGCGATTTGAATCTCCTGGAGGGGGGATTTTGAAACTCACATGAAAGGCTCCTGATTTCAAGATTTGGGCTGACATCTCTCTGAAGACTGGGATGCTGGGAGTGTTCTCCAGAGTGTTTCAGGGGGACTGTCTAGAAATCCCTGGGAAACTGAGGGAGGCTTTCGAGTGTCCCCTAAGAAGGACTAACTGTGAAATCAGCAGTCAAGACCGTTAGGATTAGCTGACTGAGAAGGAAAGGATGTGATGAGGGACCGTTTACTGGGGCTGTGGGAGGCTCATAAACCCACAAAGGCTAAGAGAAGGGAGTACTTAGAGACCCAGGTCTTTGGGGGGTCCTGGAAACTGCCAGGCTGCAGTCCTGCAGAAACATCGAAGTGGGATTTGGGGTGGCTGGGTGACTTGAAACCACTGGGAATGTAGTCCTGGGGCCCCGGACAGTGTTGGGATGGGGGCGTCAGTAGTCCCTCGGGGTTGGAGGCCAGGCGGGTGGGGCAGGACTTCTCCCGGTGGCCCCGTAGGAGGGCGGGGGCCCAGGACCCAGCACTGGGCCCGGGCCCGGGGGCGCTCCCGGTGCAGCGGGCTCCCCAGAGGCAGCAGCGTAGGAGAAGGCAGGATCATCTGGGCCGTCGCTCTCATCACTACTGGCCGCTAGCTGATCGTGCTGGACGAGGCCCGACTTCTCTTCGCTCAACTCCTCGGGCTCCGCCCATGGCTGCTTCTCCCCGGAGGCGAAGATGCCATAGAACAAGACTCCCCCATAGTGCACCAGGGACGCGATGAGAAACACCGACTGCCACTCCTCCCGGGTCTGCCGCCGGGACGCAGGCGGGGAGGAAGGCATGGAGAGGGAGCCAGAGCCGGGAAGAGGGAGAGATACGGAGGAGGCAGGAGACGAGAGGGAAGAATATGGGGGGAGAGAGAGGGGGAGAGACAGGGATGGGGGAGGGGAGAGGGAGGAATATGGAGGGAGAGAGACGGGAGAGAGAGGGATGGGGGAGGGGAGAGGGAGAAATATGGAGGGAGAGAGAGACGGGGGAGAGACAGGGATGAAGGAGGCAGGAGAGGGAAGAATATGGGGGAAGACGAGGGGGGTGGGGAGACCGAGGTATGGGGGAGGGAAGAGGGAGGAATATGGAGGAGGAGAGAGATAGGGAAGAGACAGGGATGGGGAGAGGAGATGGAGGAATATGGGGGGTGACGGGAGAAACAGGGTTGGGGGAGGGATTTAGGCGAAGACCATAGGGAAGAGAGAGGGACATGGGGAGAGAGGAAGAGAGAGAAGGAGAGACCCAGGAGAGACCCAGCAGAGAGGGAAAGATATAGGGAGAGATAAAGACAGGCAAGCAGCAGGGAGGGAGAGATGCGGGACAACAGAGAGAAAACACAGGGGGGAGGCAGAATCGGGCAGATTCAGGTGGAAGGGAAAAATGTAGAGGGAGATAGAGACCGGGGAGATGAAGGGGAGAGAGAAAGACAGGGTTGGGGAAGAAGAAAGTATCAGCAGAGAGAGACTCGGGAGAGGGGAAGAGACAGGTAGAGGCGCAGGGGAAAGGCAGAGAAAGAGGAGAGAGACACCGAGAGAGAGAGAAACACAGAGAGCAAAGCAGGAGGCCCGGAAAAACAGAGACAGAGGGTTTCCAAAAACACGGGGAGACAGAGAAAGTGGGAAAAGAAAGAGCCAGTGAGATTCCAAGAGAAACAGGTTGACTGAGAAGCAGAGGCAGCTGCGGATAAGCGGCAGGTGGGGGTAGGAACCTGGCCCTCACCTTGTGCTTGGTCATGGCCCCCACGATGATGGGACACACCATGCCGCTGAGGGTGCCCACGCCGTTGGAGATGCCCATGAGGATGCTGGCATAGCGCGGGGCGATGTCCAAGTGGTTCACGTTGAAACCTGGGGGCGGCCAGAGCCTCCTGAGTCGCTGCCCAGCTTGAGAAGGGGCCCTCGTTACTCCCGGCCCCCAGACCTAGCCCGACCTCAGGCCTCACCCGAGATGGCGAAGCCGCTGAAGCCCACCGCCAAGACCAAGAAGGAGATGGCTACGCCCTTGGAGTGAGAGTAGCCGACGACCAGGAGCAATGTGGCCTCCATGCCGAAGCCTGCGAGGACCCAGGAGTCCTGGCTGTCCCCTCGGGGACCCAGGCGTGCCCACCCTAGCCCCGCCCACTCGGGGACCCGGGGGTCAGAGGGACGGGAAGAAGGCCCCTTCTCAAGTCTTGCCTCCCCCTCCCAGGTCTCCTGGACCCCGCTCCAAGCCCCTTCCACGGCCCCAGAGCGCTTCTCACCCCCGCAATTCATCATCTTGCGAACGTTGGTGGTGGACATGATGTGGCGACTTCTGAGGAAGTCTGCGATCTGGCCCCCGATGGGGACGACTATAGTCATGACGAGGTGCGGGAGCGCGGACACCAGGCCCACCTGTGCAGTGGGGGAAGGAGGAAGGGGAGAGGGCGGGAGCCCGTTGGGCCTGTTTTCAGGCCCCGCCCCCTCGCTGCCCCCAGGACCTCCCCTCCCCCTCCGGTGCCCCGCTCTGTCCGCTCTCCCCTTCTTGCACTTGGCATTCCCCCGCTCCGGCCTCGAGCCGGATCCGAACTGAGGTCTCTTGTTCCCCCTCGGCCACTGCCCGGTAGGGGACGACAGGGGGTGGGGCTGGGACCCACCTTGCTGATCTCAAACCCGAAGACCTCCTCAAAATAGGCGGGCTGAGAGATCAGCAGCAAGTAGAACGTCCAGCTCCGGCAGAAGTTGGCTACTATGATGGCGTAGACGGGCATGGACGTGAAGAAGCGGCGCCACGGCGTGCTGAATTTCTGTTCGCGGAAAAGGGGCATTGAAGGCAGAGTGGACCCCGGGGCCCGCAGGGCTGCCTGCACTGGGGCGCTTCCCCTCCTCCTCCACGCCTGGTCCTGAGGACTCAGGGGTCCTTCTTTCCCCCCCCTCCGGCCCTGCTCCTGGCACTCTAGGACCCCTCCCCTTTCCCAGCCTCGCTCCGCTTCTGCTCCCTGGGAACTCAGGCGTCTTCCCACCCTCCCCTCGGGCTCCATGCCCCTGGGTCCCCGAGTCCCCCGGGCACCCCAGGCTGACCACGAGCGGGTTCATGAGGCGGGCACTCTCGCCGATCGCGTCCTCAATGTACTTGCGCTCCTCCTCTGAGATGCTCGGGTGCTGGGCCGGAGACTCATAGGACACCAGGAGCCAGAAGAGGTACCAGAAAATCCCGAAGCTTCCTGGGGGCCAGGAGCGAGAGGGCCAGGTGAGGCAGGGTGGGCTGAGTCTTGGTTGTCTGAGTCCCAACCTCAGGCCGCCCCCAGAGAGGTCCCCCGGCTTCCCACTCACCATAGACGTAGAACACGGAGCTCCATCCCGAGTACTGGACGAGGACACCGGCGAGAGGCATAGCGACCACAGCCCCAGCGTAAGAGCCTGCGGGACGGGACCGGGGGCTAGGAAGTCAAGCTGGAAGACCAATGTCAGTGCCGCCCCTACGGGGACACTAGGATGCCCTTCCCCCAGAGACGCCTCCCCTTCGGTAATCTAGGCACCCAATCCTGGGCGCCCACCAGAAATCCAAACGCCCCTCAGCCAGCCCAGCCAGCCCCCTCGTACCCCCCCCCGCCGCTTCCCACCCCCGCCCCCGGCCCCCAGGTCTCACCGCAAAAGGCTGTGGTTGCCAGACGGCTGCGCTCCAGGGGCGGAGCCCACTTACTCCAGATCCCGTGGCAGGCCGGGTACGTGACTCCCTGAGAGAGATTGGGGGGCAGAAGGGGTGGGGTCAGGGATTGGGGTGGGACTTAGCTTGGAGGGGCGGTGCTAGAAAGAAAGAGAGGAGGACTCGAGAATGGGAGCTGAGAGGGTGGGGCCGAGAAGGGCAGGTCCTCAGAGAAAGGGACGGGGTTGGGAGCCGAGCGGGGCTTCTAGAAGTGGGAGGGGCTCGCACCTCCACAAGCCCCTGCAGGATTCGCACAAAGATGACGCAGCCGTAATGGACACGGGCGGCGGAGGGGATTAGCATGTTGAGGGTGGACGTGGCCACTATGGCGAAGCCGAAGACCCTGCCGGGGGGAGAGAGGCGTGAGCCAGATCCCGCCCCCGAGCAGCTCTTAGCCCCTCCCCCCAGACCGCTGGCCCCTTTCCTTCCCGGCTGACACGCCCGGCTCTCCCAGCTCCGCCCCCACCTGTTGGCCGCAAACTTCTGGCAGATGAAGCCCCCGGGTATCTGGGTGACGATGTAGCCCCAGAAGAATGAACCGTGGATGAGGCCCACGGTCTCAGGGTCCCAGCTGAACTGAGCTTTCTGTACAGGGCACAGAAGAGACCCCCACCCATCGGCAGGGAGCCAATCAGTGATTGTGCTTGCATCCAGCCTCCAAACAGAGCCCTTGTTCATATCTTCAGCTTTCCACGGCCCCTGCCTGTCCCCGCACTGTTCTGGGCGCTTGAGTCTCTGGGTCTCTGTGTGCGTCTCAGTCTCAGTTTCTCTCTCCCTCTCAGCCTGCGAGGCCTTAAGACTCTCTCTGCCACTCCATATTCCCCAGTCTCTGATAATCCATTGTGGTACTTGGAATTAGTTGAGTTCTTTGAATTTCCGAGATACTCGGTGTCTCTGGGTCTGCGTCTGTGTCTCCCTGCATGGGTTTCCTCGTCGTTGAGTACCTATTTCCTCCATCTGTCTGTCACCAGGGCCTGATGTCTCTGTCTACCTGGGTTGCTGATTCTCACTGTCTCTTATTCCCCACGTCTCTGCTTCCCAGGGTCTCTGAGTCTCCGGGTCTCGGAGTTTCCACTGCCCTGCGTCTTCCCATCCTTGTGTCTCGGGGTCTCTCTACCTGTCTGAGCCTGGGCGGGTCTCTGAGTCTCGGGGTCTCTCTGACTCTCCCCACTCGGCGTCCCTCACGCTCTAGACCTCCCTCAGTGGGGAGGACTAGGGGGAGCGGGGGAGGGGCGGTGCTGTGCGGGGGGGGGGTGTGCTTACCTGCACGGTCACGTGGCCCCCCTTGTGCACCGTGCTGTTGTTCACCATGGACACGATGGCCACTCCCAGGTTGCAGCGGATGCCGAAGCTGATGCAGAAACCCAGACCGCTCATGACGGCGATGACGTAGCGGCGGGGGAGCCCCCAGCACGTGCAGTCCAGCACCGGCCGCGGCCGCCCTGCAGCCCCGCTAGAAGTTACCGGCCGACCCTCCGCGCTCAACTCTAGGGTCTCAGCGCCCTCCTGCCGTTTCTCCAGGAGCCTGGGCCGTGGAAAGCGGAGCTGTTGTCCAAGACTTTCTTCGGGGGACTCAGGAGTGCTGTCCCCCAGCCCTGGCCACTCCCGGAAGCCCCTAACCCCCTCTCCCTCCCGGAGCCCGGCGTCCCTCCTCCCTCAGCCCCGCCCCTTCAAGGACCCAGGTTTCCCTTCCCTCCCACTCCTCCTTGGGACCCAGGTATGTCGTCCCCCAGTCCCTGCCCTCTTGAGATCTCAGCAGTCCTATCCGTCCGGTCGGATAAAGGCCCAGGCGGGCATCCTGTGCTGGCCAAGTCCCCTGGTGCACCCACACGTTCGTTCCCCCAGCTTCCTCGGAGCCCCTAGAACAGGCCCCTAATACGTGAGGTGGGAGGTGGGGGGCGTTGGGGAGGCGTGGGCGGGGAGGGAAGGGAGCTGGCCGCTTAGGTCCCAGCGGCCCCCGCGCTCATAGGCACGCATTCCCAGAAATGTACTCGGCAGCCCAAGGTGTGAAGGAGGCTGGCGGGAAGGTGTTGCAGGAACAGCTGTTTCTCGGCTGGGGCTAACAAATAAACCTTCCTAGCTTTGATCTTTGCTCAAAGCTGACCCCTAATCTGAGCATGTGGGGCCGTGGACCCTCTCCCCATTCCCAGTTGCCCCCAGGGCCCCTGGTGTCTGAGCCCATGGGGGGGTTATCACAGAGACAGATGGGGAGCTCCTGTGAACGGGGGCGGACTGTGAGCCTGGGATGACGATTGTATGAGCTGGCCCAAAGACAGAGACACAGGGATTCAGAGAGACAGAGATACTGAGAGAAGGAGAGACGGCCAGAAAGGGAGAGACAGCCAGAGAGGGAGAAAGCAGAGGACGGCCCGCAGAGGGTATGGGCAGAGACTGCAGGTGTGGAGAAGGAGACTGGGGCAAGAGCCAGAGCCAGAGAGACAAGACAGAGAGATGGAGCGGGAGGAGGGAAGGAAGCTAAGCCAGGAGCGAGGCTGAGAACAGATGGAGCCCGAGAGACGGGGGAGGAAGAGAGGGCTAAAGAGACACAGAGACAGAGGGAGCGGCCAGACGGGCTGGGGTGGGGGAGGGAACACGGCACGGACCCAGGCCCCCACGGGGGAGGGCCACGCAGAGGAGGGCTCCACAGAGAAGGGGGCAGAGGCAGCAGAGAGGGGTGCAGAGGAACAGAGGTGCAGAGACCAAGTGGCAGAGACACAGAGTTAAAGCGAGAGACAAAGGAGCAGAAGAGAGACACGAAAAGACAAGGAGAGATAGGGGGCAGAGACCAAGAAAGAAGGGGCAAAATCTCAGAGCAAAGTTGGGGAACAGAGATGCTGAGGGATATGGGGGCAGAGAGACAAGAGGGAGATAGGAAAGGCAGAGACAGAAGGGAACAAAGAAAGGGGGGTGATTGAGATACACACGCCCAAAAGGGGATGGGAAAGGACGCTGAAGGATCCAGGCAGCCTCAGTACCACCCCAGGGTCCCCTGTGTTGCCTCCACTATCACCAGGTGACCTCGGATGGCTCCTACTCCTTTCTGGGCCTCAGTTTCTTTCTCTACACAGTAGGAACAAAAAGTCATTCTCTCAGTAGGGCTGCCCTATCTCCAGCCCCTCAGTGGGCTCCTACCAACTGAGGGAAGGGGCAGAGAGGGTCAGGGAATGTCCAAGGTCACCCACCAGAGGCAGGCGGGAACCCAGGCCTTCTAGCTCCCAGCCCAAAGGCTTCAGTCCCAACTTAATGTTGAGTGTCAGGTTCTGGCTGCGGTGGCTCATCGATCGTCCACCGCCGCCGCCGCCGGCAGGGGTGGGGGGGTGGGGGGCTGCGGCTCCTCTCAGCATCTCTCGGTTTCACATTTCATCCCCAGCTCCGACTGAGAGACATCCCTCTCTCTGAGATCTGCTTTTTCTCTGCCTCGCTCGCCCACACACTGCCCTCACGGCTCTCCCCAGGAGAACCAGGCTACCCCTCTGCTCTCTCTAAGGGTCTCATCCCTGGAGGGTGAGGGGGCAAGGTCAGGTGTCTGGGCATCCCCAGTCCCTCTCACCACATCCTCACCACTGGAAGACCAGAGATGGGCAAAAACTGAGCCGATGACCCACCGCACACATCTAGATAGGGCAGGGAAGAACTCAGAGGGGACAGAGATGTAATTGAGACATGTAGAGGAGAGGGATGAACCAGAGATGGAGACAGACTGAGATGAAGAAGACACAGAGACTGACCCCCAGGTAGACAGAGACTGAAAAATACTCAGAGACAGAGAACACTCAGATGTGGGAAGACTGAGGCCCAGAGACCAGAGTCAGGGATAAGGGAAGGAAGACTTTGGGGAGGGGAATATTTAGGAGGTTTCTTTGCCCTCCTGGGGCCCTGCAGGGAGGTGGGGGCTGCATCTCTCCCTCTTCTTCACACTGGAGTATTTTGAGCTGAGTGTGAAAGGAGGTGAGAAGGAAGGAGGGGTAGGGTTGTGGGTGTTGGGGGGGGAGGTCAAGGTCACAGCAGCCTCCCTATCCCTCTGGTCTAGAACAACGAGGTTGTACTCCAATGGGACTGGAGGACCAGTTGCTCCAGACAGACCAGAGGACTCCCTGGTCAGCAGCCCTAGCCATCCCTGGGGAAATTTCCGTCCTTCCTTAGAAGTATCCTAAGCTCCTAGACTCGGTCCTCTCCCCCAGCTCCCACTGCCTCAGGAACCTAGGCCTCAGGCTGGAACCTCAGCCCCTTCTGGGCTTAACCCCCCTCAAGGACACATGGATCCTCCCACCCCACCCTCTGCAATCCGCTTTAGCTTTGGATTAAAGGGAGGGGCCGAGGGGGACAGAGAAGGCACACAGAGATATACTGAGCAGTCTTGCCGGGGACATAGGCTGAGAGAGGGAGGAAGGAGGAACCCCAAGAGGTGAGAACAGGCAGGAGATGGGAAAGCAAGGTGGGAAGGAAGGCCCTCAGTCCACGAGACAGAGACACGGAGAGATGGGAAAAAGAGAACGGAGGTGGAAGAGAGAGGTGCGGGAGAGAAAGACGGAGGCAGAGAAAGACTGATATGGGAAACAGAGCAAGAAAAAGGAGAGATGGGGACCGAGATGGAGATGAAAAAACGAGAACAGAGAGGAAGAGAGACGGAGGCAGAGGCGAGAGCCCCAGTGAGCGCGCTGTCCAGGGGTCCCAGGCGGTCCTGCCACCGGGCGCTCACTCACCGGTGGAGGCGGCCCAGGGCGCGGCCCGCCAGCTTCCGAAACTCATCTTGCCGGAACTCCATGGCTCCGGCTCCCCTGCCTCGGCCCGGCCCGGCCCGGCCCGGCCCGGCCCAGGCCCACGCTGCCCCCGCCCGGCTCCTGCTGGGGCTCCGGCTCCGGCTCCGGCTCCGGCTTCGCTGCCGGGGGATGTGGACGCCCCTGCCAGAGCCCCAGCGGCAGGGAGGGCGGGAGGGAGGCGGGGCTGCCCGAGACTCCTCCCCCGCCCGCCCGCGCTTCCACCAGTCCCTGAGTGAGCGGAGGCCGGGCCCCGCCCTATAAGGGACCCCGGAGTCTTGAAAGACACCCCTAGACTGAGGTCCCCAGCTCCTGAGGGACCCTAGTCCAATTCTCTGAGGCCGCGTCCTCTCTCTCCTTCCAATGGAAACACCACCCCCTGGACTCTAGTAGAAGTCCCCGCGCCCCGCTTTCGGAGAGACCCGGGAATTTGAGATACAAACTCTGCCCCCTCCATGGGCCCCCAAGATTCTGAAAAGCAGTCCCAGGCGATTGAGGGACCCTTGGCTACTAAGGCACTTCTGTCCAATCCCTAGACCCAGCCCTGTGAGGGAACAGGTATCCCGTCCAAGAGACCCCAACTACGGTTCGCTGCTAGCCCTCTGAAGGACCCTGGGAGATTGAGACCAGGCCATTACCTTCGAAGCTAGCTGGAACTAGTGAATACTCCGCCTGGGAAATCCCCACCCTTTGAAGGACCCTTAGCGTCGACGACCCTAACTCCCCCTCAGAAGGTGCCCCTACGGCTGAGATTCGAATCCTTCCTTTGAATGGATTGCGGAGTCTGACCCCCTTCCAGAAGTATTCCCTGGAGCTTGAGACAATTCCACTCCCAGCTCCTAGAAGTATCCCCTGGAGTCTGAGGTGTGGTCTCAGGCCACACCTGAGGGACCCCCGGCCCAGGAAAGATCGAGGTCCAAATCCTAGACCCAGCCCTCGCAGGGAGCCTGGAGTCCGTGCGCCTTCTTGAAGGAGGAAGTCTTCTGAGGAACCTGGGCACCAGAGATCCTGTCCCCGCCCACCAAGGAATCCTGGCTGGACGACCATTCTCTCTGAGAGACCCCCGATCAACCCGCCCAATGGGTGGAGCGACGCCTTCTCTCCCACTCAGGGCCCCCAAGAGCCTGGTCGACCCTGCTCTATGTGGGATTTCAGGCTTCCGCGCCGCCTCCTGACAGACGTTGGGCTCTGGATTCCAGCCGGCCATCGCACTTCCTGACCCCAGAGTCAGAGTCCTAAACCTAATCCCTCAAGGGCCCCCGAAATCTGGCCCCTACCCTGACAGGGACTTTAGCAAACCTCCCCAAATCCCCGCCCCTAATTAAGGCACCGCCTTTGCACTATATACAGACCTTAAGACCTCCCTAGGGGAAGGCCGGACGCCTGAGTGCCGCCCCCCCACCTCATCTCCCCCCGCCCGCCCCAGTCACCGCCTAGGCCTAGGCGAGCGGCCTAATGCACTAGGGGATTAAATATTTATGATTTCGTCTGTAGCTCTCGCCTCAGGATGGGGACGGGGAGCGGGACACTGGTGGGGTGGGCTCTGTAGGTCAGATTCAAACCTTCCTCCCTTACCAAGTTCTCGGTCTCCCCAGGGACTCGTCTCTGTGTCTCTGTGCCTGGTACCTTCGGTTCTACAGCCGAACCTGCCTCTGGACTCTATCTCTGTCTCTCTGAGATTCCCGTTATCTCTCAGCGTGGATCCCCGATCTCTCAATTATCTGTCTCTTCTCGATTTGTTCCCCTTTCTTTCTATAACTGTCTCTGTCCGATTTGTCTCTGTCCGATTTGTCTCTGTCCTGTCAGTTTCTCGCCCATATCTGTCTCTTTCCATCTCTCTGTTCCATATGTGTAGAGGCAGTTTAGGTGTCTCAGTGGGTGGAGCCCTAAACTCAGGAGGACCTGAGTTCAAATGTGAGACACTTACTTAAGATGTGCGACGGTGGGCAAATCACAACCCCTGTCTTCCTCAGTTTCCTCGACCGTAAAATGAGGATAATAATAACACCTGCTTCCCAGGGTTGTTGGGAAGATCACATGATATCATTTAGCACAGTGCCTGGCACATAGTAGGAGCTTAATAAAGGCTTGCTTCCTTTTTTTCTGTCTCTCGCCCACAAACCTATCTTTCTTTGCCCAGGCAGTCCTCAGACTGCGTGAGTGTCCCCAGAGCCGTCACTGGCACAATCCCGGGCAGGGAAGAAGGGGACCGGAGCGCCACCTAGCGCTTAGGTCCGAGGGCTAAGGAGGCAGGGGACCGCCTGGGTTTCTGAAAGGAACGGATTGAAGAAAGTCCCTTAAGCGAAGAGTTTGGGGGAGGATGCCCCCGAGGATAAGTGCCAGATTAGGAGACTTCGGGCTGAGGGTGGGAACTCCTGAGTCCTACAGGGATAAGGGCTAGGGATGAGGAGAAGCCTGGACCAGGAGGGCTCCGGGCCAGGTGCTGTGCGGAAAGGATGGTTGGGCGCAGCAGATGGCAAAGGGAAGGAGGGGAGAGGGAAAAGCTGACCGCAGCCACCGTCATCCCCTACTCCCGCTTACGCCTTTGCTATGGAGACGGGGAAAGGGAAAGGAACCCAGGCCCCGGAGCTCCGCCCCATAGGCTCCCTTTCGACATTGACTCAGGCGTGGCCAGCAGCCTCTTCCCCCACCAACCTGTGGGCTGGCACCTCCCGGAGCACCGGAGTGGACTACAGCTCCCAGCAGCCCCCGAGGCCGAGGCAACGGCTCTCTCCGCAAAAGCGGCCCGGGACGCTCCTGGGAGCTGTAGTCTCAGCCATTGCCAAGCGCTGGCGAAGCACCGACGGACCCTGGCTTGCGGTTGTCTCGCGGCACGGCCTTCTCTGGGAGTCGAGTCCCTCCAGAGCCCAGGGGATTTAACGGAGGGAGGAGGAAGACGGCTGAACATCCTCAAGGGGTGGGGCAGGGACTGGGACGGCGTTGGGACACCTTTCTCAGATCCTGCTCCCCAGAGCTGCCTAGTACGATGGCATGGTTTTACTTGAGAGGAAACTGAGGCCCAGAGACTGAAAGTGACTTGCCCTAGGTTACACAACTGCCTTAGGGTCTTTATCTTTGATGCAAACCCAGGACTCTGAGTCCAAATTCATTGTTTTCCGCACTGTCACGGTCTTGGGGCAACTATACCTTCCTTCGGTTGTAGGTACTACGGTTTTAAGGACATTAATAAACTGGAGTGTCCTAAGGCCAGCGATCAGAATGGGGAAGGGCCTTGGGATCGATCACGGCATGAGGATTAGTTGATGGAAATATAGATATTTAGCCTGGATAAAAGAAGCCCGGGGAACCCTAAGCTTGATGGAGGTTCCGGTCGAAGAGATGAGATTGTTCTGAGCTCTCCAGAGGCTTAGTGGGGCTGGGGGAGGGAAGGGTGGCAGGGAGATTTGCAAAGAGACCGTATAGACTGGGTGTCTGGACAAAGTTCCTAGTGAGAGCTGCCCCAAAGTGCAGCATAAGCCATGGTGCAGGAGTCAGCTGGGGAAGGGGGTCCCCAATCCCCCAACGAAGGCCTTCTGGCAGGTATGGTGGAGAGGAGATCCTGGTTCTGCTAATGTGCTTAATGGGAGACCTAAAGACCTCTTCCAAGTGGGTGCTTCTGTGAGGCCAGAACCAACCCTGCCTGCCCAATTCAGAGTTCCAATTTTAAGTGGGCAATTCATTCATCATGGACATATGACCACAGGTCTTCCTTTCTCCAAAACCCAGGGGATGAAGCCAACGAAGGAACATCAGAGGGATGGGTCCGGGGACCAGCTCCAGTTCCCAAACTAGAAAGTTGAGAACAGGAGATCCAGTCTCTGTGGAGCCCCCAGATCTCCTCCCAACTCTGGCCCCAAAGCCACCTGCCTTTGGTCCAGCTCTTTATTTCCACTAGCTGTGCTTTCTTGGAGGTTTGGGTTTTGGGAGAGAGGGGAAGAATGACTAGAGATGGTGACTCCAGAGGCTGATAAAGATAAAAAAAAAAATTGAGATAAAGAAAATTCAACTACTTTCAACAAATCTTTATTAAACGATTATTATGTGAGGCATTAGGGATAAAGACAAGGGTAATCAAATACTTTCTGCCCTCCTGGAGTTGACAGTCTACCAATTGACCCTACCCACCCCCAGAAGACCTTCTCAAGAAGGCTCCTCCCACATATGCCACCCGCCTACAAGAAGGAGATGGCTAAGCAAGGCTTAGCCCAGGCTTCTTTCTAGGGTTCTATGCTGAGGCTGACTTTGACCAAGCTACTGGCTAGGGGAGGGGGGGTGGGAGGGGGGGTGGCAGGGCCCGTCTTGGAAGGAAGACAGGACAACAGCGGGTGGGGAGGAGGGCTTCCGTAGCTCTGGGGAAATGGTCTGTGCTTGGAGACGCGCCCAAGCACGGGCACGTGCGTCAGGGCACAAGAAAGGGCCCAGCTGGACCTCGACTTGGGCAATACGACGCATGAAGCGACTCCGATCGCGTGCCAGCTGCTCCCATGGACCCCGGCGGGCAGCATGGGCAGGACCTGCCCATACCACAAGGAGGTGAAGCTCCACGGTGCTGGAGAATCGGACCTGGAATGAGGCAAATACAGTGAGGTCCGGACACCCCTTCCCATCACCTTCCCCATCCGCCCCCTCCTCTGGCTGAAATGCTTTTGCAAAGTACTCATCCCCCAACTGGGTCCTCAGCCCCCTTTTGCATAGGAGGAAACAGTGGCTTTTGGAGAATCACAGAAGTAGTGAGTAAAGGGGGGAAGGGAAAGGAGCCAGCATTTATTAGGCACCTGCTCTGTACCAAGCATTGGCCTAAGTCTCTACAAATATTTAGTAAATAAAGCAGCCCCACCTGCATCCCCCTTCTGCTAACTAAGCTCACATTACATAGATAGCCTGAATGGCCTAGGGGACACATTGCTGGCCCCAGAGGCAAGTCCTTAACCTCCCTGGGCCTCAATGACTCCCTTGAGCTGGACTGAACCAAATCTATGATGCTGGAGCTATGATGCTAGCTTTGACCAGCCTGGCTACCATCCACCCAGCCTCCCTTCCAAAGGATGGGCCAACATCCAGGCCTCTCCTCACCTTTCTGCCTGGAGGGGACTCAGGCTTTAGCTCCACAGGGGGCCGTCGGGGCGGCAGGCGCCTCTTCAGCCTCTGGGGTAGCTGGGGTGAGGGCCAGGGGGGTGGCCGCTCAGCCCCAGGAACGAAGATGGAAACACGGAAGGTCTGCAGCCCAGGGCCCACATTGCATACAGTTTCTCCTTTGGCATCTTCCTGGTCCTCATTCTCTTCTTCAGGCTGGCATGCCCAGGCCCTGAGCAGGGGGCTGCCAGCTCCTCCTTCCCCATCAGACACATCTTCCTCATCCTCGTCTCCTCCTTCTCCATCAGACACATCTACCTCATCCTCATCTTCATCTTCTCCAGGTCTATAGGCCCAGGCCCTGAGCAGGGGGCTGCCAGCTCCTCCTTCCCCATCAGACACATCTTCCTCATCCTCGTCCCCTCCTTCCTCACCATCTCCTTCCCCATCAGACACATCTTCCTCATCCTCGTCCCCTCCTTCCTCATCATCTCCTTCCCCATCAGACACATCTACCTCATCTTCATCTTCATCCTCTCCAGGTCTGTAGGCCCAGGCCCTGAGCAGGGGGCTGCCAGCTCCTCCTTCCCCATCAGACACATCTTCCTCATCCTCGTCTCCTCCTTCTCCATCAGACACATCTACCTCATCCTCATCTTCATCTTCTCCAGGTCTGTAGGCCCAGGCCCTGAGCAGGGGGCTGCCAGCTCCTCCTTCCCCATCAGACACATCTTCCTCACCCTCGTCCCCTCCTTCTCCATCAGACACATCTACCTCATCCTCATCTTCATCTTCTCCAGGTCTATAGGCCCAGGCCCTGAGCAGGGGGCTGCCAGCTCCTCCTTCCCCATCAGACACATCTTCCTCATCCTCATCCCCTCCTTCCTCATCATCTCCTTCCCCATCAGACACATCTTCCTCATCCTCGTCCCCTCCTCCCTCATCATCTCTTTCCCCATC